AGCCCAAAGGGCTATTATTTTAAAAATGGCATTTTGTACCATTTCACTTTACTTTGAGCCGCCTTTACTATCCATAGCTGTTACTCATTTAGCATCACCCAGGAGGCATGTGTGAATTAAGGATATCACGGACGCGAGTAGCATTGCCTCCAGTTCTTCTGAGACATGTGAATACAGACTTTGAATTAAAAGTAGACAATACTACTCTTCGAAAAGCACTAGTACCACATATCTAGGTGTAGTGCCGGACAACAAATTAAACTAATCACGTGAATGTTACAGAAAAATTAGAGAAAAGATCCTCAGTTTTGAAAAGACTAGCTGGTACAAAATAAGGCAGCCCAAAGACTACTCTAAATAAAACTTTCAACACTTATAGTAAACCTATTTTCAAATATGGAAGTGAGGTGTTCATCTCTACCACACAAAAAAAGACTGACTTTTTGGAAAGAGCACAAAGCAAAGCTTTTCAGATTATCACATAAGCGGTAAAAACTACCTCAATTACAGCCATGTAAAGCTATACTTCCAACCCATCAACTGCTACTGAAATCAAGAAACAAGCAGTTGGTACATTCATTAAAATGAAAGCATCCCATAGATCACAATGGATGAACAAATGCAAACCAAGTACTATGAAGACCGAAATGTCTTTCCTAGAGGTTCGTGAGAAATTATTACAAGAAATAGATGAAAACAAACCAATGAATTGTAACAAGGCCATGGTTAATCCCCTTGAATATATTGATATCAAATATCAACTACATATTAATGACTTAGAAAGGGAAAAAAATTCCTGATGCAATATTAAAATCAAACACATTATGTATGTTATATGAACAATAACCTGAACCTGAATAGACTAGAGTGTACACTGATGGCTCTAAAATACAAGATAACATTGGGCTGGTGTATACAGTAAACTTTTTCCCAATGTACTCCTGCTGGACATTTCATGTCGAATTTTGATGCAGAGATCCTTGGAATTTCCTTGGCTCTGAAAAACCTCCAGATAAAGATCGATTGTTTCTCTAAAGCAGTTATTCTAGTCAATTCCAAAGCAGCCATTCAGGCTGTAGTAATAAATCATACCAGAGATACCCAGATTATCTCACAAATAAGACAAACCTCTAACAAACTTTATAAACACAACAAAACAATCATTTTTCAATGGATCCCTTCATGTGTAGGTATCGATGGTAATGAAAACGCTGACTCACTAGCCAAGAGTGGAAAACTAGAATCACAAGGCAGCAAACCACTTCACAGTCCATCTCTTTTTAAAAAGCATACTTTTGAGAAATTAATGGATACTCTTAAATTTGACCAGGTAGCAAAATCAACAACAAATCCTGGGCTAACATTCAAGACACATGGAAAACGTTTTGTCAAAAAACCCGTAAAGAGGCTGTGGCAAACTTCAGACTGCAAACAGGCCAAAATTGCATGGCACATCATCTTAATAAAATTGGCATCATTCCATCTAATATATGCCAAATTTGCAATTCAGGCATCATGAATGTAGAGCATCTTCTTATATGCCTAAAACTAGATAAAGAGTCTCAGAAACGTGGTGAGATACAGTGGATGGACAAAAATATGTAAACACCTTGTGAAATGCATGTTTGAAAAGAAAGATTGATTTTAATGAAATATGTAGGTGGCGCTGGCGTTTTTGACTACTGACGCCACCTATACAACTTCGTAAATGTGCTAAACAGTTCAGTTGTTATTCAGAGTTGTTGTTCGGAGTACTGTTATGTGAGGTTGTCATTGCATTATGTCAGAGTTAACAGACTTTGAACACGGGCAAATTGTTGGAGCACGTATGGTAGGTGCTTCCGTAAGCAAGGTAGCCGAGGTGTTTAGTGTTTCAAGAGGTACCATATCGAAGATTTATTCCGCATATTTGAAAAGCAGAAAAACATCATCTGCTAAATCACAGCGTGGACGAAAGTGTGTCCTGAGTGATCGTGACAGACGGTCATTAAGGGCAATTGTGAAGAAAAATAAGAAGACCACAGCTGCAAAAGTTACTGCTGAAAAGAATGTTGTGCTACCGAACCCTGTGAGTACCAAAACAATTAGAAGGGAGCTTCATAAACAGGGAATTGCTGGCCGTGCTGCAATTGAGAAGCCACTCATCAGTGATGCTAATGCCCGTAACAGGAAAAGGTTGTGTTTAAGTCATAAAGCCTGGACTATAGAGCAGTGGAAGCGAGTAATATGGTCTGACAAGTCTTTTCCCACTTCTAGACGAGTTTACATCTGGAGAACGCCACCTCAAGCCTATAATACAGACTGCTTGTTGCCAAGAGTGAAACATGGCGGGGGTTCTGTTATGGTTTGGGCAGCCACATCGTGGTTCTCTGCTAGCCCCATGATAACTGTGTCAGGGCACATAACTGCCAAGACTTATGTGAACATTTTGGCCAATCAAGTTCATCCCATGGTACAAAACTTTGTTTCCCCGATGGTGATGGTGTCTTCCAAGACGACAAAGCCCCTGTTCGCACAGCTCGCATTGTCCAGGACTGGTTTTCTGAGCATGAGGATGAGTTGTCCCATCTCCCCTGGCCACCACAGTCACCAGACCTGAATATTATCGAACCTTTGTGGTCTACATTGGAACGGAAAGTGCGTTCTCGTTATATACCGCCAACATCGTTATCTGAACTTGCCACCGTTTTGCAGGAAGAATGGTATAATATTCCCTTGGCAAACATACAGGAACTGTATTTATCCATTCCGAGAAGACTGCAAGCTGTTTTGGATGCCAACGGTTTTCTTACACCATATTAAGCAAAGAAACATGTTTTTTTAAAGGTGTTTCCATATTTTTGTCCAACCCCTGTATGTAAACTATACTGGAATGATTTCCTTGTAAAGACTACATCTCTATGTTCCCGTGATACTTGAGTTGTTTTATATGTTTGGATTGAGCTTCCCAATAAAGCCATATAACAACTTTCTGCATTCATTCCCCTTTCAAATTGTTGTCACCAAATGTTATCACCATATATTATATTAAAAAACTAAATAATGAAAATTCTGCATGAATGTTAATGAATAAAAAAAATAACGGTACCTACAGCATCAAATTTTGAATAACATAGTCCTCCAACCAAATATGGGCACTTGGAAGCCCGAATTTTGAATTTGTTTTATTATCTACTTTAAATTTCGTAAAACTTTAACAAATTTTTTTATTAATAAACACAACGCTTTCAAAGTGAGCAATGGCAACAATGTACGGAAAAAAATATTTTTATCTTCTGCGTGCAAGACTGTGTATCAGAAATTTTAGAGATATGCTGTTTTTAAATATTTTGTGATATTGCTGTTGAATTGAATTTTATGTGGTTTAAGTGCAAAGAATATCATGTTCTTTGCACATATTAATAATGACAAGGTAATACACAAAATGTTTAAAAAAATGGCCTTTGGGGCGTAATATAAAATCTGAAAGCCTTCAGATCTTCATTTTTTTTTTTTTTTTTGCTTGTATTGTCAAAAGATACAAATTATAAATTCAGTATAAAAATGTATATAAATATTCATTCAAGATTTAAAATAATAAATCAATTTATGAAAACTTATGTTAGCTATTCCGGTGGTTAAAAATCCCTAATGGCATTTAAAATATGAAATATATATTCTTTATGAACTCAGCACTACATACATGCATTCAAATAGGAATCTAAGTGCTGATGCACGGTACTGCAGTGTTTCTTATTGTGTCATTTTTGCTGAACCCCAGAGTCTTTCAATGTTTTGGATATGTGCACCACTTTTCAGGATCTACAAAATTATACCAAAGATTCACTTTCACATGAGAAAATCTTGCAACTTCTAATTATCTATTTTTATAATCTATCCAACAATCGAAAATAATTGCAGATTTATCACCGATGTTTTCTCTTATTGCTTTTATCAAAGTAGCTGCATTATTATCTGCAACTCTTACAATGAAATATTCATCAGTCTGTGCCCGATCCACTAAATTATAGCCACTGCTGTGGAAATATTCGAGCCATTTCATTTTTAAAGGCTTTTGTCTATTTCTACTATTTCGTCAGGCCCTCTGGTTTTACAAGAAGCTCTGTTCAAAACATTATGAGCACAAGCTTTCTGCAGATAATTATTCCAATCTATTACTGCTTCAGGATTCATACTATGTTTTCCCTCACTCAAGAGATGTTAATTCTCTTGACCAGGTGCAGTTAAAAATGTGATTGTAGAGTTCTCAAACCATGTTTCTTTTGGAGCTACAATGCCACTGTTTATCTATTTTTAAGTAAAACATCATAGCTTGTCCATTAACATACTCTATTTTTGATGGTAAGATTTCATAAATTTGAAAATAGTTCCCTGTTTGCTCTTCTCTAGAAGGCAGGCCCCAAACTTTTATTTATTTATTTATTTATTTTTTCAAACTGTAAGAAAAAGCAATAACACTTAAATTCTATCCTTGTGACAAAAACAAAAAATGGCTTTTAAGTTACATGAAACAGAAGCACAGATGTTACGGGTATGCTGTGAAGTCACACTCATCCATTAATTGGTGCTAAATTGTACCGCTTGGCTGGTCAATAGGATAATACACAAGTACAATTTTTTTATATCTTAAATTTAGTAATTTTATTACATAATTCATAAACATGATAGCAAAGTTGTGTATTGAATGATGTGATGTTTTATTTATAAAGAATCTGTTACAAAGTAAATGAATAGGTATTCTAAACTCTGCAGAATGATAATTCATCAGCTTTTAAAAGAAAATAAATGATCTCTAAATTTTATCTAATTAAGAAAAGTTGTGGATATATATTCTAATATGAAACAAAGTAATTATTTAAATTACAATATTTTAATACTCTTTTTTAGATATGTTTTACCTACGAAGAAGTTATTTGAATTCTTTAGTTCAAAAAATTGAGCATGGCCTCAACTGTCATTAAGAAAAAGAGAAAACACTATAACTAATATAGGATACTTACCACCACCCATGGAATGCAGCAAGAAGAAACATTGAAGGCTATCACATTCTTCTGCTTCTTTCCTGAATAGTTCAGTTAACTGATCATGGTATTTTGAACCATAAAATTTATTCCCCATAGCCCTAATTGATAAAGAATACATATAAATCATAACTGAGTTAAAATAAAGGAAAATGACCTGTATAAAAATGGCAACAAAAAAAAAAAAAAAAAACATTTAAAACAATGTATTCAAATAACAAAATTTAGAAAAGTAGAAATGGAAAAGATAAATGGTGGGGCACTGAAAATTAAAATCAAGTAAAGCATTGCTTTCTATAAAAATTTTTTGAAGACTTCTGAAATTATATCATAATTTTCCTATGTTAAATGAAAGCTTGTGTGTTTTAATCCTTTCACTATAATAAAAATAACTACGGAACATATAACATATTCTCCCTGACCACTTAACTTTAAGAAAAGATTTCCTCATACAACTTACTTATATGAATCCTAAGTTTACAAGAAAAACTGCTGGCATACAAAAATGAGCTCACCAGTTGTTTCCAGATCCTGAAACATCAGTAACTAGCTGCTTTCTATCAAAAAGTTTTTTAAGAGGTCCACGTAATATATCTGAGATTACCCCTTCTTCCATATCAATCATGACTGCCTAGTTTAGATTAATATTTATATTTAATTAACATAAGAAATAAGTGAATAAAGAGAAAAACAACATTAATTTACATAAGTAAAAATATATATTTTAAAGAGTTACAGAACACTAATTTAAGGAAGAAAAAATAAACAGAAAAAAGAGATAAAACAACTTTATAATAATTAAATAAAATTGTATCTAATTATAAATTTACATTGGTATAGAAAAACAGTAAAATAAATATATTATTTAGTGGTGTATCTTAATATAAATTAATTAAAAAATAATATTTATATCAGCCAAGAAGATTATCATTTATGATTATGACAGTTTAATAAAAATCTATGACATACCCTTGCTTTCACAGAATCTAAAATGTTGACATTGGATTTATTTTTGACATCAACAGGCTTGAAAAAATTACTAATATCTTCTAACTGTAAGAAATATTTAATTAAAATCAGATGAAAAAAAAATTCTTACAAATTACGAAACAATTCTTTATTGCTTTCAAATATTTTCTCCTGATCTTTCGCAGTAAAGCACTGAATCACTTTTGTTTGAAATGTACTAGAACTTTAAAATAAATATCATAAGATTCAAGCAAACACATCCTGAAAATTTAGATATCAGTATTTATGAAGCAGCTAGACAAATGAATCCATATCTCATACTTTTAGTTTAAAATGTTTGCACTAAGACATATAAATGTCTGCAAGTCATATGCAGTAAAATCTGCAATCATAAATAATTTTTTCGTTCTGGGTACTATTCTGTTTTGAGGACCGTAAAAAGTCGCCAAACTAGTGTTGATGCCAGTGCTGCCAAAAATAATTGCGGCAACCCTAACTCAAGAAAGGAAGTATAATAGTAAATAACTATCTACGATTATTGTTTTAATTTAGATGAAAGGTTAATCTCATGTAATACTTTTTTATTATTATAATTTATATATAAAAAGGCTAAACATAACTGAATGGAAGCATAAACAACTATTTCAAATCATTATTATAATTTAGATAAAAAAAAGGCTAAACATAACTGGATGGATTCCTGCATCACTACTTCACTACCGAGTTATCGCTAAAGCATAATTTCATCCCCCTGGTAGTTCAAACATAGTTTTCTATAATGAATGATGCCTATTCTTTGAAAAATTCCAGTGCAGACTTTTCATCACTGGGCAATTCCCAAATTGTTAAATCCATAGCGTTATGAGAAAAGGATTCAAAAATTAAACTGGTATTTCAATGGCATCTTAAAAAATATAGAGCTGTCTAAACTTAACGTAATTTCAATTCAGCGTGTACGCTAGATTTAGTATGCTGTGAAATGGGCACATTTGCTAGATTTGGCGCTTTTGCAAATACATTTTCGCTGCAATTTTTTTACGGCCCTCAAAACGGAATAGTACCTTTTTCGTTTATTTTTGTAAATGAAATATTTTATTTCTCTTAAAAAGAAGCAGGCTTTCAATGGAACATCGAATACTTTTGTAAAATTTCCATTACAACACATAATTTCTGTGCTTCTGGCTATAAATGGCACAGGGTTATATGCTGTGTGTCAATGTATAGATCACCATTTCCCAAACTGTGTTCCACAAATAGTCACCAAGTGTTCCATGAAAAATATGAAATTGAGGTTAAAGAACAATGATACATTTTCTGCTTTTAGGTATTTAACAGTATTCAAAATTACTCTTGAAAAAAATTAAAGTGAAAACATATAAACTTGCAGTATATTTTCCAAAATTTTCATTTCATGAGTTAATCCTCTTTTCTCTTTTGCAGTTTCTTGATGCTCAAGTATGAAATCTGGTAATTATTAATAACATTAACCTTAAAAATGCAAGTTCGATAAGAGTTATTTAAGAAATTCTTTTTTTGGTGAAATTTTAGTAACCATTCTAATCTAGATTATTTTGCAGTATATTTTCCAAAATTTTCATTTTATGAGCTAATCCTCTTTTCTCTTTTGCAATTTCTTGCTGCTCAAATATGAAATCTGGCAATAATTAATAATGTTAACCTACAAAATGCAAGTTCGAGAAGATTTATTTAAGAAAAACTTTTTTTGGCTGAAATTTTAGTAACCACTCCAATCTAGATTATTTAAAATTTTATGAAATGGAACCAATATAATGCATTTTTTTTATTATGTACTAAGTAAAGTGGCTATCCAGAGCCAAGACTGTTCAAAATCTAAGACAATTTGGGGCAAAATTTCATGTAATTTTTAACGAACCCTATGCCATTAATAAGTGTTGCTTATTTAGCAAATAATATTTACTAAGCATAATGGAAAAAAATTATTATAACAAAGAAGAAACTTTTTGATTTTTAATATAATGGATAAAATTACATCTTTGAAACAAAAGTTAATATTCTGGATTTCTGGGTAGAAGAGAATAAATCTGACAGCTTTCCTTCGCAGAACTCTTGGTCAGTATTTCCCGCAGTGAGAAGAGCTATTCTTAGATTTGAAATCCTTTCTCAGTGCCAGCTAAGCCAAACAAATGTGTCAAGATCTATCTATAAGCAGATTTTGGATAATTTGTCAGAAGAATATCCAAATTTATGAAAACAAGCTACTTGTATTTTACTTACTTTCATGATAATGTATTTGAAATAAGACAAGTTTTTTCACATTATACTGTAACAAAATCCAAATACTGAAACTAACTTTACATTGTATTTGATATAAAAATTCAAGTTTCTAACAGTATGCCTGATATAAAAGGAATTTGTAACTTGAAGACTCAAACACATCAAAAATCATTGAAATTTTTCTTTTCCAATGGCAGGCCCTCAGCTGTCTTCAGCTTGCCACTACTAAGGCCAGAAGAGGTAGTCACTTTATTATGGAGGCACCTAATAGGAGGGACACCTTTGCCTCCTATGAAGAGACGAACAGTTACAAGCATATCTTTTCTGGTATTCGAACCCAGGCCCTTTTGTATCGCAGTCAGCTCCCCTAACAACCATCTACGCAGATGTTTTATTTAATTAGTTTTATGAAATTTTTTTTTGAAATATTAAAAATTGAAACATTTCTTTTATAGGTATAACATGAAAATTGGAATAAACGCTTATTTTGGTTAACTAATTTATCTGTGCTAGCATTTATCATCACTAGAAAAACAAAATTTACTCTAGTGTTCTTTAAAAATTTTAGAACTTAAAAAGTGTTCCACAGGAAAAAAGACATTGGGACATTGGTACATATATTGGAGATGCTAGTATATATATATTGGGAGACACTGGTATATATTTTGTTCTGGCTAAAAAAATTCATCTGCAAAATAGATCTCATGCAATAATAAGTTAAGCTGCTTACACTTAAAGAGGTCAAGTTAAGACACAGTTAAACTAAGTTTAGAAAATTAGTATGAATTGATGAGCGAGCAAATGTTTTATAACATGGTGAAAGTACAGTTTGATCTCTACTTGGTGAAAAATCACAATCTTTTAAATATACAGTCAAAAGTCGTTAATCCGGACTCGTCAGGACTTTGGCGATTCCGGATTATAGATCATCAGTTTAAATCTGGTAAGATGGTATGCAGAAATTATAAAATTAAAAATATGAAATCGTAATTTATGAAATAAAGAACAATTATGATCTAAAGGGTATCAAAATTTACAAAAAGAAAAAGCTTAATATTTATTTGTTTACTTTATTAAACATTTCTTTCAATGTAAGTTGTTTAAGTTGCTTCGTTTTATGTGATAATACTTTCTCTTTAATTCTATAAACAGACATAATTTCTTGTTCAGTTACAAAGTTCCGCTGTTCAAGTCCTATAATTGCTGTGTCGACAATACCGACTAATTCGTCAATCGAAATTTTTTCGTTTTCAATAACCTCTGTGTCACTTTCTTCACTATCGGAAGTGAATTATAATGACGAGGAATTTGATTTAAATCATATCAAAGACAGAGTACATCGAGATGAAATACTACATTTAGTAAGGAATTATAAGCCAAATAAAATAAAAACATCTGCCTTGAAGATAAAGACAGTGCTGACAGATCAACTTCCAATACATTGCGTGCCACGGCTTCCCCCCCTCCCCCCCGCAGAGCAGCGTGAAATTGATAAACAGATTTCGGAATGGTTACATAAACAAAGGATTATGCCTTTATCCATTTTTTGCAGTAATTCCACTTTTTGTTTGATGGACTTTGAAACATACTTTCGCTTTGTAGATCCTTTGCATATTAGTAAATATATATCGGAAATTCTATTTGACATAATCGAAAGTTCAAGCTTACTTTTATAAAATTGCTCTAACAGTCTGCAAAAAATAATAAGCCGAATCCAATTTGAAGATTAAGGAACAACACAATCTGCAACATTAACTGAATTAGATAATTTTAGCTTAGCTTATACCGTCCGTTATACATTAAACGCGCATGTGTAAACGTATTATGCGCATGCGCACACTTATATCCATAGTGTAAAGGTCTTACGCGCATGCGTCAACTTGACGCATGCGCAGAAAGTTTGTAGCTTTGAGGTCCGGATTATAGATCATTCCAGATTATGAGTGTCCGAATTAACGACTTTTGACTGTACCCCATCTTGAACTTATCCATGCAAACAATTATTGCATTTTCCCATTTATACTCTAGTCGCATAAATGGTTAGCATATCCAGAAATTTATAGTTTGAATCGCTGCAGTTGCACAATTAATTTCCGGTTCGATAACAGAAGAGTACCTCATTTTCTCATTGTAGAAAACACATCAGTCTAACCAATGCTTTCTATAAAGTCACTGAATCTTGCATTGACAACTTACATTACAAGTATGTGTACGAGGCAATGCGATAATTCCTCATATTCTCCTCTACTTAAAATGTGATTGGCTAAAGGTACAAGATGCAACATGGGTTATCATCCACCACATTGGTGTAGTGGATGAAAACTCATCACTACTGCGTTTAAGTGTGCCTACAGGCAAAGCAAAATGTCAAGTTCAAATGAACACAGTCATGTTCTATTTTTGGCACCTCGGCCTCACTCCTATCTCAATCAAAGAATTTTATGATTTTTTAATAGATGATAGCAATTTATAAGGTATTTTCTTCCTCCTTTCCGCAAGCCTTCATGGTGTAACGGGTGGCACACTTGGTGCATATTTCGAGAGGTCCAGAATTTGGGTTCTAGAGAGGGCACTGTTCATTTTTCATATCTTCTGCTTCAAAATAACCTAATGTTTCTACGAACTGATAAGAACAATAACAATTTTTAATGATAACAATAGATGATCAGAAGCAAGGTGATGATAAAAAGCCAATGTGAAAAAAACAACTGTGTGACTGATTGCAAGAGTGAGCAATTTAAGGCAAACAATTGGGTTTTAACAGAAGAATCTTTTCAAAACCGGATGTAATTTGGAAGTATAGCCATAAAAGTGGAGAAATAATTAATTAATAATAAGGCATATAAAATAATTAAATGGGAATTACAGGGATGGAACAGGAAGCAAAATTAGCTGAGATAATAACATGAGGTTGAGTGGGGATAAAATCTGACAATACCTACACCTACTTTTATTTCTAAGCCGTGATTACTAATTGACTTGCACTGTGTTGTGTGCACCATGTTTTGAATATTTAATGAAACTGAACGGGGAATATTTATGCAAAATGTAATATATGCAAAATTAGCAAAATTCTCCCACTTATAAGTTTAAAAATCATATACCCTTCTCTTATAAAGGCTCTAATTCTTCTGAGTGTTTTGTGACATCATGCTTATCCATTATTGGTGATAAAGTGCACTGTTTGGCAACCATGTCAAAAATGATTAATAACAAAATATAATAAGTCTGTGATTTCTTCTAAAACAAATTTCATCATGAGTTAGATGCAATCAATATGAATCAAACAGCAGCAACTAAAAAATCACAGTGATTAGATTATGAGATTATCTCAAGAGAATGAGGTTCTTATTACACAACAAAAGAAAGACACCTATTCATGGTACTTTTCTGTTATCGGGACCAGATTCAGAATTGCATGCATTCACTCTTGGAGGTATGTGTTCATGTATATATGTACACACATATGCACTCATACACACACACACATATGCACTCATACACACACACACATATGCACTCATACATACACACATGAGCACTTATACATACACACACCTTTGAATCTGGTCCCGATAACAGAAGAATACCCTATTCTTTGCCATTCAGATGTTCTATGAGAATTTTAAGTGGTATGCCTCACTGTATGAATGTGGAACTTGCAGACATATATTTTATCTAGAAGTTGAGGATGAAAATGGAGTAGCTGGCCAAAGGAGATACTTGGAGATCTCCTCTGAATAGCTTTCATTTAAACCAAAGTGCCATACATAAAATGAATGTTGAGGAGTTCTGTATTCACGTAATAATGCATACCACTCTAAATCCACATGAGAAATAATTTATATCAGAAGAACACTTATTGTTCAACAGTATCCTATACCCTGTCAAAGTGCCTTTTCTGCACAAACATTTCATCACAAAATCTGCTTATTTTAGTCCCTCTACCTGCGTTATTATTTTCCATCACCCTGAATTCTGATAGTTTATACTATAAAAATACTTACAGATAAAATTTTATGATGTTGATATTCTTGAAGAGCAAGGTCCCAGAAACGGCAACCAATTTGGTTTCCACATTGGCCCACTGGAAAAAATGATGAAGTAGAAGAACATGAAACCCCATATTTCAATAAGAGAAAAGGTAAACAAAACTTTAACCCGTTATTTTAATTTTTTGCAAGTAACATTTACTTTATAATCTGATAGCAGCAAAATGTATTTTATAGTTAAGATTAAATTTTCCATTATTATTATTGAATAAAACAATATAAGAAATAAATTACCTTGAATAAAAATTGACTGGGGCATTTTTTATCATTTTCAAAGTGAAATTTCCTACATAAAAAATTAACAGAAAATAATGAGATTTATAATACCTCAGTAATCGGAACATACTTTGCATATATTTCAAATTTCTTTGATAAACATCAAACAATATCATTTATTACACTAGACGCTAGAATAACAAATAAGTATTGAAATCATACAAGCTTAAATGAAAGTTAGATAGTATATATACTTCTAAGAAAATACAAAAGATATTAAATTCGACGAGAAGCCTTCGATATACTTGTATATCTAGTTACATGTACTGGGAATTTTACATTTTACGCTAGATAAGGCGATGTTTTTTTGCAAAACTACCAAATTTGACAAATTACGTTCCTTCCACAAAACACTGAAATTCCAATACATATCCCATAATTCTAGAACTGTAAGAGAATTAGCACTGATTCACTTTCATTGCAATTAAATGAAAACTCTACCTATGGTGGCTCCATCTGTTGATAAAGTTATCAGTTATTTATTTCTTTCATATTGTCACATCCAAGGAGGTTAGCTTGGTCACATCAAGGAGTCCGTGTGTTACATTTTTGTAAAATTTTGTCTTCCTTCAAAGCAGACCCTTGGCTTCATCTTATTATTATAACTACTAGTTTTACTTTAAAAAAATCATACGGCTAAAAAATATTACATAATTCAAGATTTAGCATAATTTTAGGCTCGTTTCTTCATGTTTATAAATACGAAGCAAAAATATGAGTTTTGATAATCCTTTAATTCAGTGCACATGAAGTATAAAAATTAATAAATTGATTATTAGCTGGTTTCATTTTGTACTTAACATTATTTTCTATATTATTTCGCTTAGTTTCCTTTAAAATCTTAAGGATTTTCAGACTTTATTTCATCAAAGTCATTCATTAATGTATTGAAATTATATTATATTGATATATTAGTAATAAAATGAAATTATAACAACACTAAATTCTAAATTTACAGCATAGGGGAATTACCAAAATGATTTTTTTGATATAGTTAAGACTTTGACGCAGCCTACATTACTTTGGTTAGGATTAATGTTGGCAATAGCCTGAACGCATGGAAGTTTCAAGTGCCCGCTATATTTAAGTTTGCTAATCGCCACAATTTTTTTAAACATTTATTTATCGTAGCATCATTTTCAGTTGAGCACCTAAAGGATGGTTTATGTAATACTTTTTATTGCGTTTATTCGAAATTTCCGTATCATAAATTTAGATAAAGTATCTCTTCGCCAGATGTTTTAAATCTGTAAAAGAAAAACAACTCCATAACGTGCAGATCAACTTTAAAAATAATGCGTTTTCCTTACCAGTATCAATAACAATATTAAAAAAAAAATTTTTTTTTGAATACTTAAAGCATCACGTGTTTATCGCATCAATAATGCTTAGTTGACGAATGTTATCTCTACATCTGGCCGACTAAACTTTCCGTATGTACTTTGATCGTCGAGCGTTTTGTTGCGCTTAAGCTGGAAAGGAGAACTGTATTGAGATTCAGAAAAATGTATAGACTACATTCTGAGGCGTTAACTTCTGCAGCTGAAGATGCCAAAGATTATGCCATCTCTAGAGGTATTTTCTCTCAAAATGGTCACACATTGTTCTTCTTTCAATGACTACTTACATTAATTAATACAAGTTCTTTATTATCAGATTAGATATGTAAGAATAGTCCTAATATTATATTTAGAAATACTTATATAAAGTGAATAAATAAAATGTATTTCTCACTTTATAATTTATAATAGCATATTATTCACTTTATTTGTTAATGAATGTTTGTCAATCAGTCCCTGATGTTGAGTTCCAGAAATTTATTTAATTCAGGCCAAATATATGTTCATGTTATGTTTTTGTCCATAGTTAGCCTTTGTCTCACAATACAGCTATTTGAATCAATAATATTTTCCCTTCTTATGCTTATACTGAAAAAAGATAATATTCTTGTACTCACTAAATTTTTTGAAATACACGCCTCTTTTCCTTTCTTCTTCTTTTTTTTTTTTTAAATTTTTTTTTATGGTGATACTAATTGTGATTCGCTTATTTCTTACTCTGATGACTTACAAAGTGAGCAGTATAAAGCTACTCTGATTTTATTATATCAGTAACAGAAAATTTTCTGTAGAATGCTTTGAAAACTGTTTTTATATTTTTGAACACTAGTAATAATTTATTTGCATCGAATAACAAAAACTTGTAAAACATGAGAAAGGTTTTAAATGTACATGTTTTTTAATCTGGAACATGTCTACCTTGCTAACTGTGAATATATTATTGCAGAAACATAAAATTTTTATAATTGGAAGTCATTAATGAAATTTTGTTAACCATGCAAGCTACTTACCAGTATGCATGGCTAAATGAGCTGCTTATCTCGTTACTCAAAGCATATTTAGTATTGCATGATTTAGTGTAAAATCTAAAATTGTTTCAGATATTTGAGTTTTTGCAAAATGGTATTGCATACTTTAAATACGTAAGCAGTAAATTTCAGTAACAAAGTATGCCTTTAGTGTAATGTTTTCTTAGTCAAATAAAGCACTTATCATTTTATTTCATTGTATTATTAAAAATTTTATTTAGATTTACTGAAATTCTTCATGGTTAAGGATATTTATATCATAATTTGAAGTTACTGCAACATATTTATTAAAAAATCCAGTATGTTGTTTAAAAATCATAAAACTTCTTAAAAAAAAAAAGATATGACTAATATTTTTTTTATTTTTTAAAAATATTGGCTAATCTTTGGAATATGGTAACATGTAGTTTGGCGACATTTTGGTAAGGCGATAAAAGGACTTTAGCAGTGTACATGGATAAAGTCAAGAGTGTGCACAATGCCATTCTTGTGCAATTCTGGATGTTTTTTTAAGTGAAAATAGGTCGACGTGTACATGGTTACCGTGTATGTGCAATTCTTAAAAACGCGGCAAGCAATTTGCGATTCTGCACTTTCTCCCAATTTCGCACCTAATCATCGTCATGATTAAGCACTTTTGTTCCATAAAAGTTCTAACATAAGCGTAATTCGGCTAGCAGATTGTTGGAAAAAAATGTTGATATGGGAGGAAATGCCTTTACTTCGTGAAAACAAAATGGCATCCAAACAAAAACTACATAGTAGGTTGCTGTAGCAGGTCGCCAAAAAATCGCCAAATTACCATAATCCAAAGATTAACCAAAATATCTTTTGACTAAAATGTGAAAAAGTAATTAAAGAACCACTCAGATGCAGATAATTATTTTAGAAAAAATCATGTTGAATTGATATATTTTTAACCTTCCAGTGTTAAAGCTGCATGTACACATTCAAAAATATTTGCCATCATAACATATAAGTACACATATATGCATCTTGAAATATATCCAGACATTTAAGCTGGTATAAATATTGGAATAAAAGAGTCAAAGTATGAAGTGGGAGGGTCATTTCACAATTACGGATCTGCCACTTATTAAAATCACTTCCACTCCAAATCCATGGCTCTTTGAAACATTGTGGGAGTCTCTGTATAAACCAAATGGCATTCTAAGGTAGATGTAAACCCAGTTTGTTGATAAATGCAGTTTTTAGCACATCCTCTGGCCTCATATATATCTGAAAATATCCAGACGTGAGGTCTAGTGTCATCATGTACAGAGATATTTTTAACGCCTCTTAATGCGTATTTCACGCATTGAAAATCAGAATCAGAAACTAGCCAGGCATATTTTCACGCACTGAATTTTTAACAAAGGTTTAGCTTTAAAAAAAAAAATGCATAGCGCCCCACCAAAATCAACAAATAATATTTTTTTCTACTTAAAACACCACTGAGACATTTTCACTCGACATCTCCATGGCAAGGAATACAGGTGTGGCACTGCATGGAACCGTGCTGACTTAACAATCATGGCCAGACAATAGAAGAAAGAAATTGAAGTTTCATTGTATATTTACGAGCACTGATTTTCGTCAAGCATTCTATATTACTGAATGGTCATTCGAATAGTAAAATCGGTTATCGACACACGTAGTTTGGGAGTTCGGTGAAATTTCACATTACAAGCTGGAAAAATCTTTTGCACTCTTTTCAGAAAATTGAAGGCGAACTAAAAGCATACACAGTCAAAAGTCTTTAATCCAGACTCGTCGGGACTTCGGCGATTCCGGATTATAGATCATCAGTTTAAATCTGGTAAGATGGCATGCAGAAATTATAAAATTAAAAATATGAAACTGTAATTTATGAAATAAAGAGCAATTATGATCTAAAGGGTATCAAAATTTACAAAAAAACGTTTAATTTTTATTTGTTTACTTTATTAAACATTTCTTTCAACGCGCATATGCCTAAAGCATACATTACGCATAGTCGAAATTAGAAAATTGCAACCAAAAACTATTTGATGTGTATTCGTGATATTTATAATGATGAGGAATTTGATTTAAATCATATCAAAGACGGAGTACATCGAGATGAAATACTACATTTAGTAAGGAATTATAAGCCGAATAAAATAAAAACATCTGCCTTGAAGATAAGGATAGTGTTGACAGATCAACTTCCAGTTCATTGCGCCGCCGCGATGCATTGCGCCTCCCCCCCCTGAGAGCAGCGTGAAATTGATAAACAGATTCGGAATGGTTAGAGAAACAAAGGATATGCCTTTATCCATTTTTTTGCAGCAATTCCATTTTTTGTTTGATGGACATCGAAACATGCTTTCGCTTTGTAGATTCTTTGGCAGCTCCAGAATCGGAAATTCTTTTTGACATAATCGAAATTTCAAGCTTAATTTTATAAAATTGCTCTAACAGTCTGCAAAAAATAATAAGCCGGATCCAATTAGAGGATTAAGGAACAACGCAATCTGCAACAAATAACTGAAATAGATAATTTTAGCATAGCTTATACCGTCTGTTATACATTAGACGCACATGCGTAAACATATTATGCGCATGCGTAAACGTATATGCACATAATACCTTTGCGTGATTGCGTTTACGCATGCGCCGAAAGTTTGTAGCTCTGAGGTCCAGATTATAGATCATTCCGGATTATGGACATCCAGATTAAAGACTTTTGACCGTATAAAGGTAATTAAGTTTTTTAAAAATTTTTCTAGCATGATTTCTAATATGCCTTTAAATTATTTTTATGCTTATAGTGTTTGCATTTTTAATTCTTTCATTATTCTGCGCTAGTCAAGAAAAAATTTTACCGAGAACTACCAGTACAAAAATAAAATTTTAATTCCAGTCTTCTTTTTTTTAAAAAATCATTATCTTCACTAGTCTTACAGCGTAAATCTGGGTGCTTTATTGCTATCGTTTCGTTAAAAAAATAACAATTTTATCACGGTTTTCGGTACAAAAATTGGAATCTCATCGATAATTGTCGGCTGTAATAGACACCTCCTTTCGATCTTCTAGTGGGCAAATTGGGACTTAATGTTCTGGTTATATGAAATTAATTCATCTAAGAGTCACCCCATGTGAAAATCGATATTTAGCTAACATCTATCTATTCAAAAATCAGTATTTTGTGTAAACTTTGAGATTTTTACTGATTTTTGCCCCAAAATAAGTATTTTTTCGGAGTGTACAAATGCTGCTGTAAATACTTTTGTTTTCTTGAAATATTCTGTAGGAGAGAAGTATAATTTTTATTGTTATTATTTTTTTAATTTGATGGAGCGAGGTCGCCAAACTGATTACTGATTTTAACTAAATGTTGCTCTTAAAACGATTGTAATTTGTATTCGCGATTGTAAGATAAATTCCTTAATTAATATTTTGAGCAAATTAAATTAATATTTAAGCAAAATTAAGACCTCATTTGAAGAAAATTTTAAATTTAAGAAATTCCATACAGTCTGCAAAACAAAACAAAAGTTTCTACTAGTGATCAGCTTTCAGGATAAGCTTATCAAAAATATTTTTTAGTTTCTAACTAATTTTTTAAAACTATTTAATTCAATAGGGTAGTCCCCTTGAGACCGAAGCAATTATTCAAGGAAAAAAATTAATTTAAATATGAGTTCTAAATCCATCAAGGAGTTTTTTTTATAAAAAAGCTGTCAAGCCAAGTGTCAACCAGCTGAGGTCAGCTAAGAAACCAAAGATTAATGAAAAACCAGAAGAAACTTCTAAACATGATAAGTTTTTAAGTAAGTGGCTTAAAGAATTTCCTTGGGTCCTCTTCAATAAAGAGGAAAATGAAATGTTTTGTGAAACATGTCAATCTGCCAATATGAAGAATGGCATGGGTGTGATGGGTTCATCATGTTTCCAAAGGAGTACTCTGTCTCGCCACGAAAAAACTATGGAACACAGGCTTACTTTAAATGCCAAGAAAGATGTTAAAGCTCTTAAAAATATCATCGAAAAGGAAAAATCTACAGCAACAGATGGCGATTTGGCAGTGTTCAAAACTGTTTACAGCATTGGAAATGAACTTCCTTTAACAAAATTTAAGCCTTTAATGATGCTTATGAAATCCTGTGGAAATGAGACTGTGAAAGAGACTCGCTTGAATTTATCTCAAATTCAGTTACAGACATAACTAAATCTATTTCGGAAGTATTAGAATCAAATTTGGATGAGGATGTTTCACAAAGTCCCTATATTTCTTTAATGATAGATGAGTCAACAGATATTTCAGTTAACCATGAATGAATTATATATGTGAAATATTTGAAAAACAATGAAAGTCAGAACAGTCTTTGGGCAAATTTAAAACTATCGGGTGAGTGCAATGCAGATACACTGAAAGAAATAATAATAAAGCTTTTTAACAAAAAAAAGTACCGTTATCAAAAGTTGTTGTTCTTTCAACAGATGGTGCTGCTGTTATGATGGGGAAACAATGGACTTGGCAAAAAATTTCAGGATATGATACCTAGTTTGTTGCACTATCACTGCATAGCTCACCGTTTAGCTTTAGCTATTTTCCAAGCTGCTGATGGAATATCTCTGTTTCAAAGCTGCCAGAGAATTTTAGGTTCATTGTATGCTGCTTATTTTCACACGTCGTCCAATATTAGGATTGTAAAGCTGAAATTGATGCAAGATGTGTTAAATGAGGCAAACTTAACTCTCAAAGACATAAATGCTGTTCAGTGGTTGTCACTTGGGAATGCAGTTGATGCATGTCATATCAGTTATGATGCTGTGATCCTTGCCCTGACAGACATAATTGCAAACAGAAAAACAAGCAATCCTATGGACAAGGGCTCAGGATTAATTAAGCAATGCTCACAATTTTCATTTGCAGGTACCTTGTCATTTTTGAGAGAGGTGTTACTGATTATGAACGAAGTCAGAAGAATTTTTCAGAGCAATGATGTGGACTTCTCTGTATAGGTTAACAGTCTAGAATCAACTATTAATCGCATGCAGGAAATGAAAAAGGAGGTAGGTCATGGCACTTAGCTAAAGGAATTTTTAGTCTGCTCTTAAAAATGGGCATTATCGAGTTCAAGATATTAAATTATCTGTTTCTATTAAATCTTTAAATGATTTCATGAGTGCTAAAAATGCTTTTTTGAGTGCACTGATAGAGAATCTGCAAGAAAGATTTAATTTGCAGCAGATGCATATTTTGCAGGATTTTGATGTTTTGTTGAATCCCTCTTGTGTCAGATTGGAACAGAATTATCGATTGGAGTCCCTAGATAATGTTATTAAACATTATTATAGGCCAGATTCTACTTCGGTTTTGGGTGTTTCAGCAGAAGAGTTAAAGCAAGAGCATCTTGTTTTTATGCACGCTAGAGAGAATTCAAATTTAAACAGCTTGTTAATTTGTTGTTCTCATCAAGTTTAGATGGTGAACTCTTATATCCAGGATTTACAGCCCTGGCACAAATAGCTATGACTATACCTTTGTCAATGGCTGTTTGTGAAAGAGGATTTTCTACTCAAAATAAGATCAAATAGATTGGGGAGAAAAACACCTGGAAATTCTAACGAGAATATCTGAGCAAGGCCCAGATTTCAAAGAACAAAGGGGGAAATGTTTTTTTTTTTGATTTTAATTTGAAAGAGCAGTAATTTGAAAAACATCAGAGGAAAAGGCGAAGAATTCTAAGTAACCAAGGAAAAATGATTTTTGTAACTTTAACTTTGAAAGAGTTTTGATTCTGTAAGGAAAGCTGTCATTGTGGAAAAATTAGAGGAAAAGGATATTAAATTTGTAATATTAAATAAATATTTCATTTAGTATGTTTATTATAAAATAAATTCTGTTATTTATAATGTTTAATATTTTCTACTAATATTTAACATATGCTATAATTGTCAAAAAACAAAATAGCATCCTTATTTTTTTCTATTTCATTTTGTCCATTAAAAAATTTTTTTTAATAGAAAATTTGTCTCTGTATATGTAATTGATGCTTTTTCCGTATTTCACTCATCAAAAATGAATTTCACTCCTAAAAAAGTCAAGGAGTATTTTTACTCTTCAAAAAAAAATCATAGGAATAACACTGATCATGTAATTTGTCGATTTAATTTTCTTGATTATTTCCTCAGTTATTGAGAAAAGATATACTATCTGCAAGTTTATTATTATTTTAGCACCGAAAATGTTATAACAAATAAAGCCAAAGTGTTTTAGTGTAAGATGTAATTATATTTTCTTATTTATGCATATGTATTTTTTTAAAACTTTTCTTAAATAATTCTAATTTTAATTTTACTTTTATTAGTTTAAAAATCACTCAATTATTATTAAATATTTATGCTCTATGTGCTTAATGCTTGTATCAGATAAAAAATATTTACTTTATTAGATTGTTTCTGAATGGGAATAATAGTTTTATTTATTTATTTTAGGAATAGCTATGCATCCATCTGATTTAACTAAAGATGCCAGAGTACCATTACCGTTTTGTCTTTTTCCCTCACCTTTTCCAGAAAATTGGTTTACTTTTGTTTATGAATTACAACCACATTTGAATCTCATATTGCACAAAATCGCACATTCAAGAATATTTCTTAAAGAATGCTTATCCAGGTGATTTGATTTGAAAAATAATTTTTTGATTTCACCTTTTAAGGCAAGTTTAATTTGTTACAAATATTTTTACAGTTAAAATTTCTTATTCATTTGAGATCAAACCTGAGCTTTTCCTTGTTTATAATAAATATGCTTTAACCAAAAATATGAATACTGTTTGTTCTCTGCAGTTTTTTACCTGATGCTGCTTTTCCATGCATGTTAGTCAATCTCAGTGGCGTAGCTAGGGTGGGGAAAAGGGGTACATCTGTCTCCGGGTGCAGCATTCAGAGGATGCCAGATTGATGTTATGAAATTTTAGAATGAAATGTTTTACATTCTTGGCACACAGAAGGGGGGGCAAAATCTTTAGCTGTCCCCAGGTGCTAAAAGCTATGGCTGTGATTAATTTTAAGCACTAAATTTTAAGTGTCAGTTCATTCTGAAATCAATTTATTAATTCCCTCAAACAATATTGTTCATAACAGCAAGCTTAATTTATAAAAATATGTGTGATGCAATAGAAATATAGATAGCTATCTTTTAATACTTCTTGATGTAAAGAAGTAGTTTGGAAGTTATAAATTAATTTTTTACTGTATGGTATTTTAAAAAGCAAATATCATTAGGTTCTTTTTCCTCTTTCTTTGTTCGGTCTTTCTGTACTTTTCTGTATTTAATGCTTTTTCTGCTTTGGCATGTTTCCTCAGCACCATGTGTTGCGAGTTTGGTTTGGCTTCTTTCCTGCCAACAGTCATCTTTATGAGCATTGCTCACACAGCCACACTTTTGTCTAATTAGTTTTTTTTAATTAAAAATTTTTAATGGATTTCATAACCTAGGATTTTCTATTTAAGAAAGATATATTCTTTATATATATATATATATATATATATAATAATAAATAAAAACTGTACAGTACAAAGTCCGTAATCCGGACATCCATTATCCGGAATGATCTATAATCCGGACCTCAAAGCCACAAACTTACGCATGCGCGTTTGATGTGCGCGTAAAGCCAATAAAGCATTTACCCATGCGCGCTTCCGATAGTGAAGAAAGTGACAGAGAGGTTATTGAAAACAAAAAATTTCGATTGACAAGTTAGTCAGTATTCTCGACACAGCAATTACAGGACTTGAACAGTGGAACTTTGTAACTGAACAAGAAATTATGTCTTTATATAATTAAAGAGAAAATATTAGCACAAAAACAAAGCAACTTTAACAACTTACATTGAAAGAAATGTTTAATAAAGTAAACAAATAAATATTAAGCTTTGTTTTTGTAAATTTTGATACCCTTTATATCATAATTGCTCTTTATTTCATAAATTACAGTTTCATATTTTTAATTGTATAATTTCTGCATGTCATCGTACCAGATTTAAAATTATGATCTATAATCCGGAAAAACCCCTAATCTGGAATCGCCGAAGTCCCGAGGAGTCCGGATTACAGACTTTGTACTGTATTTGAATAACCACCTCATGAAATTAAAATGCGACTTATAGTTGTATCACTTTTATTTGTACTAGTTGTGTTTCCTTTCATTTTTATCAATTAATTTACTTATAGTATGAAAAATTTATGTATAGTGAGTTGTATGAACCAAAATTTGCAGCAAATGAGTCACAATGCAGTATGAAGCCCGAAATCTGGAATCACTGGGGCATTTGTAATTGTGGATTTTAGAAATTTCTAACTTCTAACTTTCTAACTATGCAATCTTACTGAATTTAAACTAAAGTTTAAATTGATTTAAACTTTAGTTTAAATTGATTTAAACTTTAGTTTAAATTGAGTAAAATTACATGTAGAATTTATAATATGAAGTTGAACGGAAAATTGCTTGAAATAATAAAGCATTTATAATCTTAAATCGGAATTTAAAAAAAAAAGGCTCAGTGTTAACATTTGTTTTGTTTCACAAATGGTTTTTTGGTGTAAGTTTAAACAATTTTGACCGATGTGTTAATACCTTTCCTTTACTTTTATCATAATCATCCAAGGCCTTCTGAACTAAATGTTTCCAAACACCTCTGCTATCAGCCAAATTCCTCCAGTACTTAGTTTTAAAGATTAAACAATTCTCTTCTACAGCATCAATCCATCGAAGATCTCCTCTTCTTCTTGTGTTACTTGGCTTAGCCGAAAATATTTCTTTTAGTATGTTACTGTTGTTCACATGGATAACATGTCCAACCCAACTGAGGCAGCTTATTTTAATGTAATGAATAACATCTGGCTCTTTGAACATTCGGTTTTATTCGGTGTTGTGTCTTCTATGCCAGATACCATTTTCCTGAATTCCTATGAAAATACTTCTGAAGACCTTGCATTCAAAAGTACCCACAATCCCTTCCTCCTTTGCGGTCATAGTTCAGATCTCTCAAGCATAAGCCAGGACAGGATGGATTAGGATCTTGTAGAGTAATAGCTTCATCTTTTCACATAAAAAGCCAGATCTAAATAAATGCTTTTATCCATAAAAAGCTTTATTAGCTGCACAGGTAGGATGTCATTGTTTTTGTTAAACATTGATCTCAGATAAATGAAATCTGTAAGCGTTTCAAATTTATAAACTCCAGTTAGTTGGGGTGTAAGTATTTCCAGTAATAGCCATATATTTAGTTTTATCTTGGTTTAATAACAAGGCCCACTGGTTTAGATTTTCTCTCAATAGCTTCAAATGCTATTTAGATGCAATTAGATATCTTTTGCTTATGGTCACCATTGGTATGTCATCTAGAAATGCCAGTACTAGAACATATTTTCTAAAAATACTGCCCCTGGTATTTACTCCAGACTTCCTCATGACCCTCTCTAAATACAATTTTAAATAAAAGGTATGATAGGGCATCTCCTTATCTAAATTCCTTATCGATGAGGAAACCACTAGAAAAGTATCCTTGAATCAGAACATTTGCAAAGTCATATTAAATATTATTTTACCAATTTTGTTATATTTAAGGGAATATCAAAATCACACATTGCTCTTAATAATTCATTGCAGCCAATGGAATCATATGCCACTTCAGTCCATAAACAAGAGATACAAATCAATATTAAATTTGTGGGATTTCTCCATAATTTGTCTAAGGCCAAAGTTATGGTCCATAATGGATTTACCTTTACAGAACCCACATTGAAAGTCACCAACAATTCTATTTGCATAAGGAATAGGTCTCTTGTACAGTACTTTGGAAAAAGATTTGTAGCAAGTGCACAGTAAACTTATCCCTCTATAGTTTCACAAACCAAAGAATCTCCTTTTCTGAATGATTCTATGGAAAAACTCCATAACTCTTGATTCTCCATATTTTAGAAGCTCTGTCTATATGAGATCAATTCCATATGCTTTGTAGTTTCCAAGCTCCTTGACAGCAGATACTGTTTCATGCAAACTTGGTAGTGCTAATTCCCTGGAATCGGCCAAGATTTTTTCCTGTGTAATGTCAAAAGAATTAGAATTTTCACTCCGTATTAACAAGTTCTCAAAATGCTTGATCTGTCTTTCCAAAATTTGAGAGTTTTTATCACCTTTTTTATTTTTACAAAATTTGATTCTGGCTTTAAAGTCTGTTTGACAGTAGCTGACTTTCTGATAGAATGCACTTCACACATTGGTCTTCTTCAGCTGTTCGACTTCCTTAAATTTATTTTCCTTGAAAGTTGTTCATGTAGCCCAAAGAATCTTTCCATTTTTCCATGCTTCGCAGTATTTTTCTGCCATATTTTTAGTACTATGTTGTAATGTTCTTTTGTATGTGGCCAGTTTTTGTTTATTTGTGAGCCTACATTTTTCATCAAGCCAAACTCTTCTATTCCATCAAGCTCTATGGCCCAAAACTACACCTGCAGTATTGGATATTGTTGTTCTTAGTTTGAGCCATAGGTCTTCAAGATTGGGGGGTGTATTTTCACTTCTGAAATGCCACTCTCCAATGTCTTTCTTTTAAGTTCTAGCCACTTCTTCCTCTTTAAGCTTATTACAATCAAACCTGTTCAGTTTCTTAAGTTCTTCTTTATTGGCACTGAGGATAGTTTAGTAGAATTGGAGATTTTTTGCCTCTTATACTAGCTAGAACTAAAAAGTGATCGGAATCCATATTAGCTCCTTCAAAAGTTCTAACATTAATCAAGTTTGTGAAATGTCTAGTATCAATAAGAACGGGATCAGTCTGATTAAAAGTTGCTCCATTTGGTGACTTGCAAGTGTGTTTGTAAATATTTTAAGCTCAAAGCAGTACTACCAGTCACTAGATCATATGCAATAGCAAACTCAATGAGGTGGATTTCATTATCATTAGATGTATCATGTGCACTATACATACCAATGTTGGGTCTAAACTCTTTCTCCTTACTCACTTTAGCATTCAGATCACCAAGTAAAAGTTTAATATCATTAAGTGGACAGCCCCATAAAATATCTCTCTGTTCATCTTCTTTGTCATGAGTAGCAGTCTGTGCAGTAATAATGCTATAATTAAAAAATTCCCCCAATGCATAACTTCCATAATCTTGCCATTATAGCTCTAAAATCCATAATTAGATGTTTTACTCTCCTATTTATCAAGAAGACAGCTCCCTCTATGAGCTTTTTGTCAAGAAAGTTGTAGAACAATATATAAGATTTCATTTCCACTGTACCCTGCTGAGTCTGCCTCAATTCCTGGACTGCTGCAATATCTACCTTGTACCTATCATGTTGTTGTATAAGCTCCTGTAGGGTTCTAGAATGATAGAGGGAATGGACATTCCATGAACCAAAACTCAAGTTCTTAATCCTTCTCCCGAGTTCATCTACGAGAAGAATATTGGAAATTTTCTAGTTCAGCCTTCGAAATAGAGAATTTTTTTCCCAGGTTGGGGATGTTATCCCAATACCCAACTTGGAGGACCAATCCCCTTATATAATACTCAGGGGCAGGCTGCCTAGCTATACTCCCATATGTTCGGTACCCATTTTAGTTGCCTCTTTTATGTCATGCATGAGCTGCTTTGGGATTATTCTTTCATGCACAGGTGCATTTATTTTTATAGAGCACCATAATTTCTTGTTAAGGTACAAAGTTTCATTATTTGAGATCCATAACTGCCATGTCGAGAATTCTCATTAACACTCCATCGCGTACATTTGATCTGCTAGGCACACCTCGAGTACTTTTGTTTGTCCTGATTCCTTCAAATGTTGTCACTCCTTCTCGATTCAGTTAGCTTCCCATCTTTTAGTGCCACTGGCAGTTGTAAGGTCAGTCAGTGAATATATTTCTTCATTTCCAGTTAACAGATGAAATGATCTAATAGGCTTATTGCACTCGATCACGTTGCAATTTGACAAGTAAGTTTTCTGTGATTTTTTTAAAACCGTATCCAATTTTTTGGTTAGCAGTTTCATATAATAAAATATTTTATGATTATCTACAAAACTGAGTATATTTTTGGGCTCTGGCTCAGACACATTGTGCCTGATCATGTCATGAATTGCAAAATGTTTTAATAATTTAAAATATTGCTTCTTACAAAATTTGACTAAGACATTTTTGTAATGACATTATAAATATTTGTTTAATTCAGGCTTCAAAAGGTTAAAAATAAATTTAAAAAAAAAAAAAAAAAAAAAAAAAAAAAAAACAAAAAAAAAAAAAAGAAAAAAAAAAAAAAAAAACAAAAAAAAAAAAAAAAAAAAAAAAAAAAAAAAAAAAAAAAAAAAAAAGATTTAAAAAAAAAAAAAAAAAAAGATAAAAATAAATTTAAAAAAAAAAAAAAAAAGATTTGAGAAACCTACAAGACCTTGAAGAAATTCAATGTTTATTGGAGGCATCAGATGAAGAAGATGAGGATGTCAAAGAAGAAGATTTTGATGTCAAAAGCTATGTTGATTCAGAAGATGGTGTAGAGGTACCTGAAGAGGGATCAGAGACAGAACAAGAGGGAATCGAAGACAACACTGAAGAAAATGCTGACTTTTATTTGGGACAAAGCCAGGCTACAACACTTCAGTCATTTTGGCTTCAGTAGTAATGGTAATGTTTTGGTGTCCTACGTTCCAAGAAAAAACAAAAATGTCTTCTTGTGTCGTCATTGCATGATGACCAAACTATTGATCCTTCTACTGAAAAAAAAAAAAAAAAAAAAAAAAAAAACAAAAAAAAAAAAAAAAAAAAAACAAAAAAAAAAAAAAAAAAAAAAAAAAAAAAAAAAAAAAAAAAAAAAAAAAAAAAAAAAAAAAAAAAAAAAAAAAAAAAAAAAAAAAAAAAAAAAAAAAAAAAAAAAAAAAAAAAAAAAAAAAAAAAAAAAAAAAAAAAAAAAAAAAAACAAAAAAAAAAAAAAAAAAAAAAAAAAAAAAAAAAAAAAAAAAAAAAAAAAAAAAAAAAAAAACAAAAAAAAAAAAAAAAAAAAAAAAAAAAAAAAACAGAAATAATCAGTTTTTACAATAAAACCAAGTTAAGAGTAGGTATTGTAGATAAAATATGCAGTTTGTATAATGTGTCTAGGAATGTAAAACTGTGGCCCATGGCAATCGTTTTTACAACATTAAACAGCAATCAATTCTCAGATCATATATGTATTTAATGGGTACAGAGCTCTTAAAAGAAGGCTGCTCATAAAACAACTATCTAATGAACTTGTGTTTGAACAACTTGCTCAACGAAGTCTAAAGTCTATTTTGATGTGAGTACATTTACGACAAAATTTAAAGAAATACACTCCCAACCAAGAACAACAGCCTCAAAATTATGATGAGCCCAGATACCTCCAGAAAGACGCAAATGTGAAACATACTTTTTGGAGACTCTTAACAAAAGATTAAGCTAATATGATAACAAAAAGTGTCGCACATCAACCTGCCTCTCGTAGCTTTCATGTTTCCTCCATGCTATAAGAGAGAAATAGAAGGACATATATCGCCTAATGTATCAGATGAATGAGAGATTATACTTATGTTCTAGTTTTAATTAAATTTAAATCTGTAATTAGTCTTGTACAACAGCTTTAAAAGTTACTTTGCAAAATTTGTTTAATATAAATAGTTTTCTTTTAAGACTATAAAAATTGTTTTATAGCCCCTTACATATTTTTTTAATTTGTGGAAGTTTAATACTAATAGATAGTATTTGATTTTTGTAAGGAAAAACTTTTTGTATATAAAAAAGTTTAGTAAATCAAAAAGTGCCCCTCAGAGTCAATGCGCCCGTACATGTTCTGACACATATTGCGCCCGACGGAGTGTTAAAATAATCCAACTAAAATTTTTCATTTGTAGTAGCTTCTTTATCACTTTCTTCACAATCAGTACCAATATTTTCTGGATTTAAAATCATTCCTGCTTTTCCCATAGTTCTGATTTTTTGCCATTTCTAAAATTAAAAGCAGTACTGAAAGAGTGAAGATTTTTTAACATAACTCACATCCAATAAATGTGACATATTCAACAATATTTCGGAGAAGTATGCAGTATCCACCAACACATGATCTCTCATATATTTTTGTGAGTGCATTCCAAGAATTAAATTATCACACTTTTCATTTGCTCGCATTTTAACTAGGGAACTAAAAAACTTCCAACACAGAAATAGATAAAAAAATAAAAAGAGGAAAGACCAAACTTTCTTAATCATTAATACATTTCTGCATTTGCATTAGGTATTTTTTGTGATACAAAACTCTACCAATTATAAATCTAAGATTTTGCAAGTGATTTTTGCATTATGTACTTTCCATGTGTATCTAAAATAACAACTTCTCGTTCATTAAATCCTCTGATGTAAAATATTCTTTCAACTTTATTTCAATAACGGAAAAAAAAAAAAAAAAAATCTTTCAACTTAGTTTTAGGTTGCAAATAAGTATGTTGTAATCATAACATTTATGATAAGAAATTTCTTTTCTAGCATTATTGAAGCTGATGAATTTACAAGGAAAATTTTTGAAATATTTGAAGCTGTAGATTATGAAAGAGAAAAAAAGGTATTTTATATAAAAATCTTCAAAAATTAAAAAAAATATATATATATATATATTAGTAATTTTCGGTTTTTTTTATTAATAGTTTAAATTATGAGCACTGTATTACTATTTATATGCAAGATTACTTAAATTATATTTTTAGATTTTTTATTCAGTTTTATTAATCGAAGCATCTTTATTCATTAAGAAAGCTATAATCCGTTTACTGCTAAATATTTTATAAGATTATGCAAAATTTGTTTGAATTCTGTTTTATAACTTTTCACATGGCTTCATTAGTAATATGTGATCAAGCTGTCATTAATCTATTTATGTTAAAAGACCATACAAATAAATATTATTTGAATACAATTGTGATATTAGAAAATGTTACAGAGCAGTCTGCAGCTTTGCAATATTTGATAAGTAGTATATAGCCCTGGCCATGGTCAGGAAAGCACTGTTGTGCCACTGAGTTTAATATATAGTCCTGGTATACTTTACCTTGATTTGAGTGCCAAGCCAAGCCTGCAATACTCCTGCATGATCACTTGCATTTTTCAGGAGTGTAATTTCTTTTTTGCAATGCCGATATTTTAGTACCCAAAAGCACATTTATTTAATTTTCTTGATTATGCTCAGTTTTTTTTCCCCACTGAAATAGTTTTATCACTTTTCTTTGTAAAGCAATTTCAGCATATAATAAATGAATGGGTTTTACACAATGATTTATTGCATTTTTCACAAACAGATAAAGTCTTTCAATCAGATTTCTTTGGAAACTCTTCACATCAATGATGAGCTTAGAATTTCTTCCCAGGTTTTGTTAGTCTGTCATCTGATAAATTTAGGATCCCTTTAGAGCTATTTCTATTACTCTGGGTTATATTTATGTTCTCTGATTTTTCAAGAAAATGTTTCTGTCAACAGTAAGTTCCTTCAAATAATTTTGACATGACAACTGGTTTGCTACCTTGTTGCATATATAAGAATTTCTGCCTGTGATATTTAATAAACCAAAGAAAATTGTCAAAAGCCAATCAACTTTTCTTGACACTGAATATGTTCCACACATCTCATCTACTCTTCTCCTTTGATCAAGCTGTGACAGGTAATTATTTCAAATTTACATAAATCATAGTTGAATTGATTCTCTTGTCCAAAATATATTATGATAACACTAAAGCAAATTTTCCTTTTTTAGGAACGTTTTAAGCAATTTTGTGCTCATAAAATCCTAAAAGTGAGGAATATACAGCTCTTGACTTATGTGGAAAAATTGTTTAGAAACTTATTTTTTATTCTTCCTAAATGTAGCAGCAGTTTTAAGTCCCCCCCCATCAATTCTAACGCTAAAAAAAATTCATGGGCCAGTTATCCAAAGTTATATTACTGCTAGTTTGAGTAACTGGAGCAATAAGTTTCTGTGATGTCATTTGGTTTATTGCTTATTAAAAAATGTTCATTAAGTGGCTGTCCAACACTTGTCTATTGGGTAGCTCCAGATCATGTGTATAGAAAGTGTGGGTATCACACAGAGCAAAAATTTTTATAGCACATTTTGCAGGTTTGCTCTTGATGTACTGTCGAATCTGACATCTTCTACAGAACTGTTATAGTTTCGCATCAATGGTACAATACTCAGAAATGTAATACACTTTTTGAAAATTATTAACTTTTTTTCTTATTGGGGACTAGTATATCGAATTCTTTTCACTCTTGATAACTGTGTATATCATCAAATTTCAGACATCAAAGAAAAAAATGAAAACATGATAGTAAAAAAATTTTGCATTCTTATTTCATCTCTTGATCAAACATCTTTCGTACTCAGGTGTGCAGCTGTCATTAATGGCAGCATAATAAAGTAAACCAAAGGGAGCTTTTATTTCTGCTTTGTTACACGTAAGAGGTTTGTAATTGGGCATTACAATTGGAAAATGTGACACAACATTACATGATCTCCTTCATGGATGTTCTGCTATCTATTCAGTTCCGTCTTTGCCAAGATAATATTCAACATATTTATCTTGAGTCCTCAAAATCTATTTCTTGTTTACGAGAAGAACTTGCAGCCTCTGCTGCTTCCTTTTATGCTCTATCAGATTCATGTAAAATGACTGCAGAACATTAGAACATGCAGTGGGTAAGGATCTTCTCTTGTTGGATGAGCAGTTCTCAATCTTTTTTGCCCCATGCACCCCTTTCACTGTTGCTAGATGATCATTCTGCCTTCTCCTTTCCCAGTCACAAAAAATACACTTATATTTTTTAAAAAATTATATTATTTTTAAATCTGTTTTATAAATTAAGCAAGAAACACTAGGTCCAAAACACCTGGTGCATGTGCTTATGGGTTAAACTAAAAGACAGAATTTATACTAAAAGGGAAGCTTTAAATTATTCTGATAAACTAGATAATAGAATAAAATCTTAATTTTTAGTTAAAAATCAGCTTTTAATATGCAGTTCAGTAAAATTACTGCAGTTTAAAAAGCTTTTTTATATCAAAAGCAAGAAATATGTAAATGTAGTTTTGTTAAAAAGTCATGCTGCAAAGCATGTATTTTGAGCATTTAATCCTATTTTTAAAAATTAATGCCAATTTTAAACATAAGAAGTTACATAAATATATTATAATTCTGTAATGAATTCAGATTTTTTGCCATTTTCTAAGGAAGAGCCCTGCTTTAAAGAAAATTTTAGAAATCATAATGAAAAGAACTAATCTTGAGAAATACAAGTTATGATAAATGTCCTTGTATTCAATTCCCATGCTGTAATTAGTATTTTATGTTATATTGAATGTATAGTTATGTTGAGAGCCAAGTATTAAATGTTACTATAATTATGGCCAATAAATATTCATTAATGCATTAATTTTCTATATTTTTCATACATTGCTGCATTAAAATGTATTTACAGAATTACACACACACACGCACACCTTGCACAAAAAAAAAAAAAAAAAAAAAAAAAAAAAAAAAAAATGGGACAGTTCAATATCTTCTGTTCTACCTGATCGATTGTCGAAATTTAACTTGTGCTTTCCATGTCTCGAAAGTGCGACTTAGGATATGTATTAGATTTATATATAGCATTTTTCTAACATAGGTATTTTGACACAAAATCAGATGTTTTCTGAAATAACATGCCATTTTTTCTCCATATTTTGATTCTATGACTCAAATTATGCCAAAGTGCTAAGTTTTGTAAAAATCACACCAGTAGTTTTTAAAAAAAATTAGCACTCAAAATTTTAGCTCTTCCATGTTAATTGATTATTAATATCTCTTTTTTTAATTAAACTTATTTGATTCTTACTTTCACATTTCAAAATCTAAGTTCATTCCAAATAAAATTCTCCCATTTTTTATGATTAATTTTAAAAATTTGTATTTTTAAATAATTTTTTATAAATTTTTCAAAACAAAATTTGAATCATAACCTATAAAATTTTACCATCATCTTAAAGTAGATGTATTTCTAAGCACACCTGCAAAAAATCAATTTTTTATTCAAAATTTCTTAAGATATATGTAAATTTACATATTGGCATGTTTTGAGATTTGGCAATGAAAAAATTAAAGGAAAATAGTTTGCTATAAATTAAGAATTTTGCCAAGTGAATTATTCTTGCAGTAAACTGAAAAAGGTCTACCAAGATAAATTTTTAAATTTCACACCAAAAATTACAATGTTTAATATCTAGGCATAATTTGAGCCATAAAATTGAAATATGGAAAAAATTGGTATGTTATTTCAGAAAATGTCCGATTTTGTGTCACAATTCCTATGTTAGAACAATGCTGTATATAAATCTAATCCGACTTTCGCTTTCGAGACATGGAAAATGCAAATTAAATTTCAACAATTGGTCCAGTAAAATGGGAGATATTAAACTGTCTCATTTTTTTTTTTTTTTGCAAAGTGTACATATGCATATAATCAATATTGATAACTGGTAATCTTAATTTCGAAATTTCTAAAATCTTGTTTATATATATAATTAAAAGGAAAAGTCGGAACTTGAATGATAAATTATAATTTCTTCCCTATGGTGGCCCTAACGAATTCTTTCTCAATGAAAGTTGTAACCCAAAAGGAGTACGTGTAAAATTAAAAGAAACTTCAAATACGTATTCTAAACTGAAAGTAATACAAAATAGAACAGTAAACAAAAATAAACATTAATCTCCTCTGTTTAACGCTTCAGACAGTACTTAACAAGGGAAAAGTGGTTTGAAGCCTTAAACTAAGTTGATTAATGAGTTCCGAACATGTTTTGTTCCTCTGAATCATTTGAGACTCAAAACCGCCATATTAGAATCAAATCTTCACTTTAAAACAACATTTTAGTGGCTCTCAAGTTCAGACCTTTTCCCAAACACACTGAGTGATCACTATATATTTAGTGGCCACTCAGCAGACATACTTTCAATTTGGTACATATTATGTTTGGATGCAAAAATGTGTCAGTTGGTATTATTCAGTAAACAACTTCTTCTACAACTCTAAATTTTCAAGTGATTTTGTGTTTTTTTTCCATAAATGTTTTGTGAATTCACTATCAGTGAATTTTAGGAAAGTTGATGAGCAGAGTCAAGCGATGAAAATTGTTAGGCGTACCACTGAGGTGAAAAAAATAGATTATTGAAAAGTATGGTTTGATTTGGTTTATTTGCAAAGCATTCAAGGACTATTTGCCTAAGGAGAGAGATGCTTTCACGGAGAACTTTCTAAGAGAAACTGGTTTGTATCCACGTAATATATGAGAAAGGTTTAAATTAATTGAACACAAAAGTGCACATGCAGCCATGGAATTGAACTCAGGTGGAATTATCAGTGTTCAGCAACTTTACTGCTTGGTCACTGATGGGCTATTGAAAAGTATGAAGATGATATGCATATCCAAGATTTGGCTATTGCATACCATATGCCAAGTACAATAGTGTCTGTAATTGTGAAAATCAAGCGCAAGATGCTTTTAAATTGCTGAAGCAGTGAAGGGGGTAAAATTTATTACCAAACAAAGATCAATGACATTAGAATCTGTTGAAAAAATTGTATTTGCACTTATTGCCTTTATATTTTAATATTAAACAGTGTAAAAATAATAAAAATAGGATTTTTATAATAAAAATATATTAATTATTAGTCCAAAGGTATAATTAGCTCTCAAGGACTATTGTTTTTGTTTTGGCATTTTGCGTTGGTTCATTATAAATGTCCGATTCACTTTTCAAATTGTTGCCACCAAATATTATCACCCTGTATTATATTTAAAGAAATTAAAAAATGAAGAATCTGCATAAATGTATGTATGTTTCTTGTGTTTTATGGTATTTAGAGCCATCCAATTTTATCTCCAGCACATGGAACTGTGTATCGGAAATTCTAAAAATATGCTTATTTTAAAATTATTTTGCGATATTGCTGTTGAACTGAATTTTATGGTTTAAATGCAGAGAACATGATATTTAATAAATAAATGTAACACACAAAATGTTAAAACAATACCCCCTTTGGATGTAATTTAAAATCTGAAACCTTTCAGATTTTTTTTTTTTTTTTTCCCTTTATTTCTTATTAGAGAAATTCATTTGGTATACATCCAAAGTTCTGGAACCATCAATGATGTATAGGGCGGCACCACTGTATGTGTAAGTTTCAAAGTATTGTTTTGATGGTAATAAATAAAACAACAGAATAACTGATTTTCCTTACAGAGAATAGAGCATTTTACTAATTCATTTTGGTGAGAGCTCGAATTTATGCATTAAATTCAGAATATACATTATTTTTCTAACATACATTAAAAAGTAGTATTGAATGTAATTTTTATTTTTACATTAAAAGTGGTAATTGTCAATTTTCTGTTTTAACATCGAGTACAGTGGCAAAGGCTACTTTACTTCTGACTGGCCATATGCAGTAGAAAGTGTTAATTTACATAAATTATGGGTTTTTCTGTCAGAAGTAATCTAGTTTGCTGTTCCTAATGACCCTTCAGAAATGCACTAAAATATGCAACATTTCATTGCACAGTTGATGACATCACTAAATGTCAAACAGCAAGAGCATTTGCTTCAGAAGGGTATTTTAGTTTTCTGTTTTGTAACAGACTTCTAACAAATAAGAGCTTTATTATATTAATTAAAAAATTACCTATTACTTTTTTTAAACTTTTATTTCCCATTTTATATGATTTCAGTCCCTGGCATATTTTAAAGTTTCTAAATTTAAAATGAAATGAAGACTATAGTATATTTGTATACACTGCTTTATGAAACATTTTTCTTTGCAGCGGTGGAGCCTGGGCGTGATTCGCTCAGATTATTTATTAAACTCAAATCCTTCTGGAGGAATACTGGGCATAAAGCAAGTCGAAAACAACACCATAGCATCTGGATTTGGTGGAATAGCACCACTTATGCGAGATTTGCATAGGTTGTTTCCTTTGATAACATTTATTTTCAAGTGTTAAAGGAATTTTGTTATTGGCATGTTTATATATGTTATTTTGGTATTATTCACTTAGAAAGTATACTTAAAAACTATTATATTTGACAGATTTGTGTTCAAAAAATTTGGTCAACAAGGATTTGAACACAAAGTATGTGAGTATATATATTTTGACTTTTCAATTAAATTTATAATAATTTTTGTAATCAAGAAATTAATTGCACTTTATCATATGTGAATAAACCTGGCTGTTTAGAATGTGAGCATAGTAGTGTAAGTTACTTTCATGTTCTAAAATTTTCTTATTAAATTAAATATTTCTATTGCATGAAATCTGAGAAAATAATTTGATTGTTAAATTAGAAAGATAATAAAATGTATTTTAGCCATAAGGATTATGAAAAACAGAATATTACATTTCAGAATGTTTCCATATAGAAGAAAACGAGCATTATATAGTATATTCATGCTATGTATTTTAAATCAAATTTTTTAGATTTTTTTTTGTTTTTCAAAATAAAAATTTTATATTAACATTTTACAACTAAAAACATAATGGCATTTTACTCGTTACAAACTATTATCTTGTATTTGTCTCATTACATTCAATTTCAAATGTATCTTACGTAAGTTTATTATATTCTTTCAAAGCTGCCATTAAATGAGGCTACTTCTGAAATTGCAAAAGGAATTTTTGCTGCATGGAAAATATATGGAAATCCAAAGTAAATTTTTTATCATTTTAGTAAAGCATTTTGTGTATTGTGAGAATGAAGGCATTATTGACTTGTGATAAATTTCTCTTTAGAGTTTTTTCTGTCATTAAGCTATAATAAAATTTTACTTCCCTTTCTTAAAACTGTAATAACTACTAAATTTTAGGTTCAGTGTAAAACTGATCAATTAGGATCAGTATAAATTAGGAAGTGTAAAATTATTTACATCACAAAATGGGAAAATGATATAATAATTTAATATGAGTTATTTTGAATAAAATATTACCAAATATGATTTAATTTAAGTGTGAAAATGTTCTCTCTTTCTGTTAAAAGTCTTTCTTCTCCTTTCTCCCAATACAGGTAGTAAAAGAATTTAAAACAATTATTACTGTTTTTAAAACTTTAACAATGAATTTGTTTTGGACTTACCATTAGAATTCAAGCTCAATGAAAACAAACCATTTTAGAATTAGAATCAAACAAAAGTCCATTTTTTCCACCCCATTTTAAAAATTTTTTTCATATTGATCATTATATTAAAGTAAAACTGTAAATAAAAATATTTTCAATCAAACTCTGAGCAGCATGACGTGCTTTATCCGGTCATGAGATTTTTTGTTACTTGATATATATTAGCTTATAATTTAAGATATTTAGCCTTCTTACTTCCTTTAATAATGTAAATGTCATCTTCATGAATGTTAAGTTTATGCAAATAGAAACTAAAATAAGTAATTATACAAATTTAGCTAATAAATCCTGTTTAAATACAGGTCTTCTGCACAGGTCCAAAAACCTGCACCACTCAGAGAGGTAAAATTAAAGATAATTATTTTCCTCTTTTAGTCATGAATGTGTCACAATGACATAATCTCTAATTCTGTATCTTTCTTTGGCAACTTTTGAAGTTGGATCAGTGTCATATATATTCTGCACAGTATAAAACTATTATAAATCCAATTGATTTTTTCCTTTACTTTTAGTGATCTTTCAATATCAGTCCATGTTCCATGTGCATTTAATTATACATGAAACCTCTTTATATTTTACCATATCTATAAAAAATTTTGTGCAAGCATAATATACACTGTGTTGCAAAAAATATATATACATCCAGAAAGAATTTAGCCACAACTACAAAACTCAGCCTTTCAGCCTCCATATGCCTTTAATACTAATGATACGCGAAACCTCTTTATATTTCACCATTTCAATCAAAAATTTTGTATAAGCATAATATGCACTGTGTTGCATATATATATATATACTAAAGAAATATTGATTATATTATCTCCTAATATAAATTTAGTAGAAGTAGCAAAAAAGAGGGAACCCATATGTAGGAAGTTTTCGAACTAAGTGAATTTTAGATCATTCAACATTATATATACATATATGCATCTAGAAAGAATTGAGCAACAACTACAAAACTCGGCAGTGATATAGCGTTCTATTAGATAAACTATCAAAAACTGGGGTAAAGAAATCATTTTATTTACAAGTAGCAGTACGGAGAATGTGAAAATCAGTAGATGATAAAGCCAGCTCTGGCAGCTATCCAAGCTGATACTCAGCTGGGCAAGAGTCTGTTAAGTTTGCATTGTTTCTTTGTGGTAGATTCTGCCACAAATGGAGCAGCTGTTGAGCAAGCTGGGACATATTGTATGCTGCTAAATTTGCCTGCCCAACATGTCACAAACATAGTCAATAGGTGACAGGTCTGTAGACAGGGCAATCGATGACATTGTTGGGAAAGTCATACTGTATTTGGTCAAGCATTGTTCTGCTGGAAAACAGAACCTGGATGACCTGCTAGCATAGGCAGTACGATTGGCTGCAAAATGTCATCAGGGTACCTGCAAACAGTCAGAGTACCTTGCAACATGACTAATGGTGAATGGCTGTACCAGCTGATTGCTGCCTAGACTGTCACACATGTTCTGCTGAGTAACCAATGGTACATTGAATCACTCACCTCTTCAGCTCCAGACACATATGCAGTGGTCATTAGCATTAGGAGAAAAGCATGATTTGTTTTTAAGATCACATTTTTCCAATCGGACACTGTCCGCCTCGAGTGAAAACGGCACCATGCAACACAAGTTCTTAAGCTCTTTCTTTGTTAATTTTCACCTTTTTTTTAGCCAAGAGAGTGTTAGCCAAGAAGGGCTATTAATTTCATTTTGGCATTTTACTTCAAAAACTTCAAATATCCATTTCACTTTTCAAATTGTTGCCACCAAATACTATCATCCTGTGTTATATTTAAAGAAATTAAATAATGAAGAACCTGCATAAATGTATGTATGTTTCTCTCATTGTGATAAAACAATGGTACCTAGAGCCATCAAATTTTAAATAACATAATCCTCCACCAAATATGGGTATCTGTAAGCCCTAATTTGGAATTGGTTTTATTATGTATTTCATATTTTGTCAGACATTAAATAATTTTTTATTAACAAACTCAACAATTTCAAAGCAAGGAATGGCAACACTGTATGGGGGGGACATTTTTATCTCAAGCTGTGTATCAGAAATTCTATAGATATGCTCTTTTAAATATTTTGCGATACTGCTGCTGAATTGAATTTTATGGTTTAAGTGTGAAAAACATGATATTTAGTAAATAGAGGTAACAATATTAAAAATGCCCCTTTGGGCATAATGTAAAATCTGAAAGCTTTTGGACTTTTTTCCCTTTTTTCCCTTTTTTTTTTTTTTTTTTTTTTTTTTTTTTTTTTTTTTTTGTGCACAAAAAATGTGCCATAAATGAAATGTGAGTGGCGATAGCTTACTCGCATTTCATTGATGCTGGATCAGCGTCAACATTTTTGTGAGATCTATAAGCAATGAAATTGATTGAATTTTTTTTATTCACTTGATCAAACAGTGCATCAGGATTTAATTTTTTTGTTCTTAGCATTTCAATCCATCGCATAAAATAATAATAAAAATTTAAGAAATAAATACAACTCCTAATCGTATGTTAAAATGGATATGATGATAACAATGACAAATATAAAATTTTTTCTTACCGTTTTCGCATATATATTTGTTACACTCGCATATAATGAATGGCACATGAAAAAATTCCCACATTGTTGCTAATTCTTTCAAATTTTTTGTCACATTTCCCAGTCTTCCAATAGATAAGCAATAATTTTTAGCCTTTAATAAGGAAAATGTTTTTAGCAAATAATAAAATTTATTGAATCAATGAAACTTATTTGGTCAAATTTTATTCTCCCACGCCTAGTGATTTTTAGCATAATTTGTCTTATCAAATTTGATTTGATTTGAATTCTGTTAAAATAATGTATATATTTATATAACTGCATGTGAAGATTCAACTAATGTTTACTCAGTAAATATATTTATTATTTTTATAATATTTAATTTTTGTCTACATCAGTATATGGAACATTATAAAGTTCATCCACACATTAGTATGTAACAAAAGGAAAACAAATTGAAACAAACAAAACAAACAGTAACAAAAGGAAAACAGATTAAAAGGACAGTTCTATATCTCTCATTCTACTGCTTTTTCTGAAACGACACCCCCCCACACACACATTTCGATTCTACGATTATGCCTAAAAACTAAATTTTGTTAGTAAATTTTTTAAAATTTGGTATGAAATTTGATCAGTAATTCAGAAATTTACCTTTGTGCACTTTTTTTACTTTGTCCCAAGCATGTACTCTGTACATTTCTTAATTTGTGTAGTACTTGGAAATATTTTAGCTTGATACCAAAATGAAATTGTTTTTGGTGGTCGCAAATAAATGCATTTATTGGTCTAGGTCAGTTAAAGAGTAGTCTTCTTAGAGAAGATTATTATTGTTAGTAGTAATAGCAATGTTTATTTAAGTTCTTAGACACACTGTTCACTTTTAAAAGTGGTTACTCTGAGGAAATCCATCGTATTCATTTTTAATGTTTGAAAGAAGCAATGATTTATAGCTATACTTATATAATATTTTAGCAAAAATATTCTACTGTTCAAGATCTTCTCTTCTGTATATGCAAAATAACTCAGGATTATAAAGAAAAACAAGTATGTTACCAAAATGCTGTTTAACTCTAATCAGAAATTCTTTGTTGCGTGCAGTTAAAAGAATTGGAAGAGTTAAAGTTGGAAAGAAAACTTAGTGTTGTGAAGAAATTCAATTAGCTAGAGCTGTTCCATACCTTAATATAGACTATACTATATTCATTTACTGCTTTTTCGCTGTGTAATTTTCACATATGTTAAACGTATATCAAGAACTTGGCAGCATAATTTGCATATAGAAAAGATTCTTTAAATTCATGTTTAGATACATTTTCAAAAAAGTAATAGATATTAATATGTATTTAACGTGCCTGATTTTTTTAATGCAACACTTTTTATGTTTCAAAATTCCATCTGCAAAGTTACAAAGAACTTATGTGTCCATATAAACCACCTGTTACAACTTGGGTGAGGACTCCAATTTCAGATTCAGTATGTCGAATGAAAGAATAATAAATGCACTAATGAATGCTTTTAAGATTTTTTTAATTGATTTAATTATATATTTCTTTTAGTTTTATATACTTTTTAATAAAATATTTACTTATTATCTTTAATTGAAATAGCATAATGAAAGTAATGACTTTTTTAGTAGTAACTGGATACATTGTTTATTTAGTGCTATTGTTCTTTTTGTTGTGGAAGAAAATACTTTCAATATCTGTGATCAACGAATACTGGAATATGGTATTTTCAAATATGGAAACAAAACAAAAGTTATACGATGCACTTTCAAAGACCTTAGAACATGTGCCAAATTAAAAGGAGATGCTCTTATTGTGTAAGTTCTAGCCTTATGTATTCAAATTTATTTTCATTTGTGTTTCAAAATTCTACTGGCTTTCCTTGTATCTACTTCTATGTTTGTGCATTGTGTTTCTGTATTTATATTTCAGCAAGCATTTTACAAAGTGTTAATTATCTCTTGAATTCCTAGTTTCTGTATTTAATTATTTTTCCATTAACTATGTTCCACAGTTAAAAACTGTTGCCAAACAATGTCATTTAGTGCAATAATGGATAAACATAATGTCACAATACTCTCTTAAAATTGTTGCCTTATTTTTATATAACCCCAATCAATCCTTGATAAACCAGTTTAATTTTTGTGAAGAAGGTTGTAAGTATAAATCGATAGCACAAGTTTTATTGAATTCATTTATTAAACAATCTCAAAGATAGAGTTCATATTTATTTAACTTTTTTATGTACCATATTTGTATCAGTTGATTATTAATGAAAGAGCAGTTTGTTCCTTAAAAGCTTTTGCTGGACGGATATGTACTAGCTAGCATAGCGAGATCTTTGCCAGCCTTCTTGATTCATGGGACAATGTGACAGAACCTTAATTTCTAGATAGCAATTTAAAGAATGTAAAATTCTATATTAATTTAGCATTGCTTTCAGATAAGGAGCCTTTCAGAATACATATAGCCATTTCATTTCAGAATAGCCACTTATCATTTCATTAGATTCACTTGTTAGACTAAGAATGAATTTTACAGATTTTTAAATTTTTCTTTGTCATATATCCCTTTTGGATCTTCAACTGAATTGATGTTCTATACTTTTGTACAAGATACAAACAAATAATTATAGATATAGCAAAAAGTCTTGCTCTAATATTTTGATAATGCCCTTTTAATTCACCTTAAGCAGCATTACATTTGACGCAAATGTGTCTATAATACATCACTGGAAAAACAATTTGCATGTGATTTTGGAACTTTTCTCAGAAATCAGTCAAAGTTTTAAGTAAAGCTCAAATTTTAAGACGATAAATACTGCTTTAAATACTCTGAATATGCTAATCTGTTACAGCTTTCTTTGTTGTGTGCATTTCAATTTAAAAAATGGTATGTTTTCAGTCCCTCCCCCCCTTGAGTTAATAGATAATGCTTGGCAGCTTGGGCAATTTCAGCTTTTCCTGTAATCCTAATTTTATGATGCTACATTGCTTGTGTTCAAAAAAGCAAAATTTGTTATTTGTACAAATTTGGCTTAAGTAGCTAGCTGAGTGACTCATGCTAAGTTGTGATCATATCACTCCCATTGGCAGAGCTGTAATCACATATTTATCATCTTCTTCCTTTGCATTTGTATTTGTTTTAATTAAAAAAATTTATGGTGACATCTAGTGAAAAAATAAAAAGGATAAAGCCCCCCCCAAAACAAAGTAAGGAATTTAAAATTTTAGATAAACTGAAAAATGGTACCTGTGATTCATCACCTGCAAAAAATGTAACTCTAAACAAATCAGTTATAAAAACAATACCAGAAAATGAAGAAAAGATTTTGTCTTTATATCAAAGCTTCGGTTGATACTGTGCTTGTCAGTGATTCACACTCGTCCAAATGTTCCGCCGTCATTGGCTGTCCACTATTACATGAAACGCACAATGGCAAATCAGCTAGTATAATGCAAAATAAAAGATTCTGTAGACAGTCATGCCCCATCAATAGTCTAAAAGATGCAACCGCAACTGTTCGTGGGTGATTAGGAACAAAAGCTGGGTTTGTTGAGAGAATACTTCAAGGCTTGCCATCACAGTGCCCGAGTGGAAAATTTCTAAAAGTCTTTTGATATGCTAGTGATGTCAGAAGCTTAATAGAATGGAGGCTTGCTCTCATTTTTGGCTTTTGGAGAACCGTAGCCCCCTTTTTTGAAAGTGCATCAGCCATCTCATTTCCATAAATACTGCAGTGTGAAGGTACCCATTTAAAAGATATCTTGTGGGAAAGTTCTTTTATGACCTCCTGACACTGTTGAATGCATATATTCTTGTACTCTTGGTAAGAGGAGATGGCCTGTATTGTTGATGTCGAATTAGACAGTACAACAGCCCTCCTGAACTAGCTCTGTCTCGATGATAATTGTTGAAGAGCCACATGAATGGCTTTCAGTTCTCCATCAAAGTGTGTGGAGTAAGCCCCTACAGGTATATAGAAACTGAAAAGCTTATTAAAAACTCCAGTTCCAGCCCCCTGTATCCTATTGGTCAGAGAGCCATTCGTGTATAGATGCATCCATTCCTTAGCCGGAAAATGTTGCTCAATTGTTTCCAAAGCTATAGCTCTTATTTGCTCTGGACTTATACTTTCTTTTTATCTACTTTCATTTCCAGGTCCAACCGCACATTAAGGAAGCTATAATTCAAAGGATTTAGCAAACACAGCAATGCTGTTCAATTGCAAAATCGATGGGAAATTCACTCTCAGTTGTGTGGCTGAATGTTTCACATTTTTTAAGATGTGTGAAACATTCTTTTTATGTAATTGTGATTGAAACAGTATTATTTTCTGTTGGAACAATTTGATATTAGTGTGTAAATCAGGAAGAATCTGGTTTTCTCCTTGCAATTTCAAATTCAGTTCATTCATATGTTTTGTCAAATCTGTATAGAATGCTAACTTAAACAGCCATTCACTGTTTGGTAATGAGAATGTTTAATTGTTATAGTGCACTTTTGAAAGGATTACTAACACCATTTGTTAGCAGTTAGTGTATTGAGGGTATTACCTATTTCTGCTTTTGACTACCAGATGTTCAGAAAATTAAAAAGGTTTTGACCCTTGGAAATTACTCGATTAATCAGTATGGCCCTAAGGGTGGAAAGTTTGGAGTGATCTAAGTGATAATTTGGCTTAACTTCATCCCAGTTGTTATGGAAAGAACCCTGGGGAAAAGGATTTAAAGATCTTTTACTGTTAACCTCCTAAGAGGGTGTTTGACTGAACAGTATTTTAAATGCTGCCATGCTGCAAAGACGCTGTGTACTGAGAAATATCCATGCTTGCTCATCCAGGTTATTGACCTATCACCATGCCAACAGGGCTGTGAATCTTCTGTTAAGATACCAATTTCTTAATTCACCGAAACTTTAGTTTTTCAATATATAGTTTTAATAAATCTTAAAAATGTATTCAAACCTGATAAAAGCTGATAAAATTAAATTTGTGTTTCATGGTAACTTCAAAGGAAAACATTTTAAGAGAAATGCAACACCTTTTGCTTTTTTCTAATCTTGATTTTTAGATGATTTGTGCAGTGTTTTTGCAAGAATTTGAATCTTTTACTCTTTTTCTTTCTTCATTATTTTAATAGCAGATAATAAATTTAATTCCAGCATTACAGTTTATTGGCAGTCCTTTTGTATTTGCCTTTCTCCTTTTTCCCACATATTGTCACTCTGTTGAATAAGAATAACTTATTTCTATTTATTTTTCATACCTCATGTATGTTCTTTGCAGTCTACTCTTACGTAAGAGTTGAATTACTTCAAATTTTTTGTCGGAGGTCTTTTTTTTACTGTTGATCTAATTTTTTATCTTCATACAGTTAAAAAGAATATTCTTTCATGTCATTTTCCCTTTCTACTAGAACATTTTTGCATTGGTTTTTCTTTTCTGTTTGTATATCATGCTTTCTTTTGTTGAGATTCTGTACATATTCAATTTCTACAAGTTATTTTGTCTTCTGTTAAGATTTGAATTTATGGAGACTTTGCAACTCTTTACCACAGCTCTGGGGAAAGGGTTAGGATAAAGAGTCGCAGAACGTAATTAATCATAATTTACTGAACATGTGCGATCATACAGTTCAAATAGAGGAAAAAAAAAAAAAAAAAAGATGAAAATTTATGTTTAAAAACACAGTCTTTTATTTATTTATTGAAAATTTTCTTTAGCTGGGAAAATAGATTTCCTTGAAACCTTTGCCAGGATTCAAACTCCCGATTTTCTGAATACATACTGAGCATGCTTCCAGATATGCTATGAAGGCATGCAGAAAGGAGGGAAAAAATATCTTATATACTCCCTCTTTTAAAGGGCCACTGTGTATTAGGGTACCCAGATGCCAAATCCTCATGCTGACAAATTATCATCCACCACCTTTTAGTTCGGGTGCCACTTGTAGAGTCTTAGAATATTTTGATGTCAGGAAATTGAAGAAATCAGCATTGCCCTCACTGGGATTCTGGATGCTAGGTCTTCCAAATATGTGCTGGATGTGCTTTCAGTTACATCACAAAGGCATGCGGAAAGAACAGAGGAAATACCTCTTACTGCAGCCAGTTCGTATGTGTTGGGAACCCAAATTTGTAATGACAGATACATCATAAAGAATGGTAATATACTTTTTGCACAATGGGACATATATTTACATTCGTCCATGCTATTGTTATGTATTTCAATCATTATCTCAAAGTATTTGATTTAATTTTTTGAATGCAGATTTTAACAATCATTAGTACTTGGATTCTTTCATGGCTGTTATGTTTCATTCATATACCTTTGCTTTTATTATAACAGATAGACAGAATGGAACAAAAATAGAAATTTTAATTATAATGTCATGAATAAAGACACTTCTAATAATATTTGGATGATAGAAGTGAAGATTGATAATTTAAAGATATCACATAGAAGAAGAAAAAATTACTGTATTTCTGATAAAGGTAGAAATTTTGAAAGAAATGATCTATTTACTTCAAAACATCTTGGGAATAAGGCTAGGTTTGAAGCAAAACATGTTGCTCATCAAAGTGAATACTTGAAGCATTAGCTTATATTTCATAATTTATTAAGAAAATGCAAAGTTTGAAGAAAACCATGCCTATCCTTAAACTCTTATTATTTATTTTTTTTCCCCATATTCCTAACTGTTTCTTTTTTTGTTTAACAGGAAAGGTAAAGAAGTTGCTGTTGTATATTATCGTGTTGGATATGCCCCCGAACATTATGAACCTGAGGTCTGTTTGCTTCAAGTTTTTACTTAAAATTATTTTGGAAGTCATGATTTAAAATATTATTTTTTTACTTTTACATGAAGTTAATGAAAGAATAATAAATTACCTCATAATGCTTTTTGATAATGACTTTCAAAATCTCAAGATATGATAAGGAAGAGCATATTAACAAAGTTGACACCAGTTGAACTTACAAACTTGCATTAATCATTGATCACCTAAATTTATTAGTTACTAAATTGTTTTAATTATTCTTTTTAATTTAAACCACAGGTTTTTGTGGTAAGATTCATATTCGGTTTTTCTAATATTTTGTTTTTAAATATGCCAGCTTTTGCTCTAATAAGTTGTTAGTTTAATTGTTAATGCTAATTAAGTCGTACATGTATATGTTTTGTAAATTCAAGATAGTTCTTTTTGTATATATATTCAAAATTGAATATTAAAACATTCAATGGATGAATGAATATGAATTCTTCAAATATTTATTGTTTATTGTCAGACATATACTAAATTTTTATATCATTTGATTTGATAGATGTACTTTTATATAGATGCTGAAACTTTATTATAATTTATTTTATTTTATGCATGCAGAATTTGTATTTGTAATCAGATCTCAGATTAAAAAAATTTTCCCCCATAAAGTCACCTTATAGTAACATTATATCTTATTTATCTGAAAGTTCAGAACATTTAGTCCCTCGCTAGATGCATTTAACTTTAAAGATTGTTGTTTTTGTAAATTTCTAGTAGGAAAACATGCATTACTGTCATAAGGTTTGTGCATAACTAGTGCTTAAGAGTAGTTGAGGAGAATTGTCTTCTTCTGTTCTGGAACAAAAGAAATTCTTATGAAAATGTGATTTCTTTAAAATCAAAATAAAGAATCTATATCAAAATTTTGCCATATAGATTCATTTTAGGTAAAATGCATAAATAGGTAATTTTGTAACCTAGATTTTTCTGAATATATTACATTTATTGCATATCGAAAGAAAAAATAGCAGCTGACATATTCTGCAAACTTTTAAAATTGCAATGCGGTGCAGAACAGATATGGATGCCTATGTGAATGATCTTCACTTTTATCAAGAAGATTACTCTCTTTTTGCTATGCTGCTGAGATTGTAGATGGGCATTTGAGGATACAGTTATTGAAAAGTTGATTAGGGGGATCTAAACCTTTGTGAATTCATTTGACTATGTTAGTAGTTAATTAGATTATTAAGTATGGGCGCATCAGGATCTCCTATGGAATAAAGCTGTACTAATGGCTGTGTTAGGTCTAAATGGAGGAACATTTAACCTGATAGTTACACATTTTGATAGAATTTATATGGTGAAGAATGATGGCGGTCACAATAGCAAAAAATTTACATCAATTTGCAAGACATTAATGGTTAGTCAATTGAAGTTTTGATGTTAACTTTTCAGATTTATTAAACTCAGTCAACTGAAATTTTGACATTTTGGAGACCATGGTCTTCAAAGACAGAAGACTGTGGTTTCTACTTCCTGCTTTGTATGCAGCATAATGCATATAATTTATTATTCTCAACATAAACTCCAAATCAGATTTGAGATATCAGCTAATATAGGCCAATACTTACTAATATGATACCAATACTTAATACCCTTAAAAAAATTGGCCAAAGGTTCAATTTAAATTTTATGCAACTGGAAGTCTTATTATAAACAAATAGGAGATAATTATAAATGATTAAAATCTTTTAATAATAGTCAGTCATATTTGTTTTACAGGTTAGAAGCTGATTTATTTTGGAGAAAAACTTCCAAAATTAAAAACAATCTAGTGGGTAGATTTCTAGGCAAAACTGTGAGTTCTTTTGATAATTTATATTGTCTTGTGTTTGTAAACTAAAATATGTACAGAAGTAGCAACACAATGTATGAAAAATCTTTTTTCAACAAGAGCTATTCAACAGATATTTACAGTTCATTTAAAATCTATTAAAAATAAGATTAACATTGGTGATTGTTCATGTTAGTATATGCTTGAGTTAAAAACATATATCTGGGAATTATTAAGTTTAAAAATTATTCTTATGTGAGATCTTCTAAATAATACAATTATTTATAATTTAGAATTATTTTATTTCTTGTTAAAAAGTCATTTAATAAGCTGCTTCCCTGAAAGACTATTTTTCTAAATAAATGTTTGAAAATTACATTCCAAATTACTAATTATTTAGAATTTATTGTAAAATTATCCTTGCAGATTTTCTTTAAAATTTTGTATTTTAAAAGAAACTTCATAAAAATGGCTGGTTAATTAAATTTTGTATGTCTTTATAAGGTTAAATTTATAGTGTTGGGTAATTAAAGTTTGCATGGTTTCATAAGGTTGTTTTTATAAAGTTTACATCTTTTTGCAGGATTGGGGAACTAGACTCTTGATTGAACGTTCAAATGCAATTAAATGTCCCTCTGCTGGTTTGCATCTGGCTGGAACTAAAAGAGTGCAACTCTATTTAACTCAGGATGGAATTCTTGAAAAATTTGTTAGTCATGATGTTGCAGTGAAAATAAGAGAAGTCTTTGCACAGCAGTATTCTTTAGATGTGGTAATCAGTTTTGTTTGATAAGTAAGAGATGATATTGGGTTTCAAAAACTGTGTATAATTTTCCAAAATGCAGTTTATGGAATTATTACAACTAAATGTGCTGCAATGTTTTTTTTTTTTTTTTTTCCCAACAAGTAATTTTACCCAATTTCTGAGAAAGATCAGAGGATTACACCATCTTAAAGTTTCTAAAATTTTTACACAAAATAATTTAAAAGTGACAGTGGAATAATTAATAATAATCATATTTTTTTAGGCTAATTTTCATTCTAAAGTGATTTACTGTGAAAATCTGCATAGAATTTTCTTTTCTGGTGTCCACTTTTAAAGCTTTTGATAGAATTGTTAAGCAGCTCAGTAACAAATCTGCAGTAGGAAAGAATACATGTAGTGTTGAACTTGTCGCGAACGACGCACGCTCCGCTCTTGGGGAACGGATTGAGCCTCTAGACCGACGAGAATTGAAAAAGAAAGTTTGTTTTTTGAGAACTGGCAACGATAAGTGTATGCTTTTAGAACAGTGACGCAGTAGACTAATGACACTTTTAGATATAAATAAGAATGTTGCTAAGGAGTTAGAAGTGTCTTTTGATGTTGTAATGATTTAGATATTGTTCCTCTTTTGTGTGAAATGTCAAATAAAGTGATTCATACAAAATAGTGCCAATTTTAAATGAGTTGGAAACCAAATCTTGAGTCTAAATATAATCATAAAGGTAAGCAACCTTTCTTTATTTGCTTATCTAGAATTCGGAATGATCTGTTTTTTACTGAATTGAAGTGATACAAATATTTGGCGCCCGAACAGGGACCGCCGATGTAGACTATATTGAAGTGAAAGATTTAGGAATGTTTGAAAAATAGCTACTTTTCGTTTGAGAAGTTTATTTATGATTTGAAAGTACTGATTTGTAATTTGAAATAATTTCTATCTGAATAATTTAAACATGTTTACTAAAATAGAAGAATTAAAGAAAAGACGAACTGTAGTTAGGAGTATGACTACAAAGTTGATAAATAATTGTAAAGATTACTTCCAAGAAACAGAACATGATTTGTGTATTCTAATGAAAATATTGATTTATTAGATTCAAAATATAACAGCCTAAAAGAATTAGATAAACAAATACAAGAATTAATTGAGGCTAACTGAATATGAATCGGAATTTGAAAACTTGTGAAGTTTATTCCGAGAAAATAATTTCCATGAAATCAAAACTAACATTTATGTTAAAAGAGAATAGGAAACCTGAATTCCTGTTCGAATACAATTGGTAATATTGTGAATGATATTTCAAATATTTATGTATCTCATTCAAAAATTAAATTGCTCAAATTATCGATCAATAAATTTAATGGCGATCCTGTTAATTGGTTATCATTTTGGAACCAGTTTGATAATGCAATGCATCAGAATAGTGATTTAACAGATACAGACAAATTTAATTATTTGATTTCATTTTTATCAAGTGTTGCTTGTAATGCTGTTAGTGGTTTTGCATTATCAAGTGAAAATCAAGTTACTTAAAACACGCTTTGGTCGAACAGATTTAATTATAAATGCACATATTGGAAAACTGTTAAATTTAGAACCTGTTAGGAATGCTAACAACATATTTGCATTACGTAAGTTGTATGATGATATCGAAATACAGATAAGAAGTTTGAAATCACTTAATGTAACTTCTGGCACGTATGGCACGTTATTGACACCAGTTTTATTAAAATTAATTCCGAATGAACTGAATCTTGATTTCCAAAGAAAAAGGAAATCTAAAGATAATTTCGATGTAAACGAATTATTAGAGTTCTTAAAAACGGAAATTGAATGCCGCGAATCTATGCTACAAATTCAAGATAAAATAAACAACCATAATTTGAGCCACTTTCCTAAAGAAAAAAGAATAAATAAAATCTCTATTCCAACGGCTGCTGTGTTAAAGGTTTCAATTAACAGCTGCATATTTTGCAAGGATTCAGAAAAAGAAAAACGTACTTCCGATGCTTGCCCGAAGTCTGTAGCAGACAGAAAGGCGTCACTTCGGAAACTCGGAATGTGTTATTTATGCCTTAAAAGGGGTAACCATCTGGCAAAAAATTGCTTTTCGAAGATAAAGTGTGATTCGTGTGGTTGGAAACACAACAGTTTAATCTGTGACAGAAATAGTTTAGATGAGAAAAAATCAAATAAGAAGGATCTCAATTTGATGAACAAATCATGTTTAGAGAAAGTTTTATTACAAACTTTAGTAGTAAGAGTGCATGGCAATGGTCCAGAAAAATACTTCCGCTGTTTAATTGATTCTGAGAGTCAACGAAGCTATGTATCTAAATTCTTAGCTAATGCTATGCAGTACGAATGTATTAACGAAAGCAGTGTGATTCATTGTCTGTTCGGAGGAGCTGAAGTGGTTGAAACTCATAAACAGTTCGTTGTACGTTTAAGTAGTATTAAAAACGATTATCAGTGTAACTTCAAAGCTTTTGATCAAGCGAAAATTTGTTCTGATATTCCACAATTGAACATGAAGCCTTGTTTAAATGAGTTAAAAACCCATAACATATTTTTGAATGATGTTGAAGGTAGGCATAAAAAATTGTTTTTCGAGCATTCTCCTTCTGAAATTCATATCCTCATAGGCGCAGCATAGCGGGAAAATTTTGCTTACAGGGAAAATAAAGAAGTTAGAATGTGGATTAGTTTGCATTGAAACTTATTTAGGCTGGAGTATCATGGGGAAACTTCCCGTAGAAATGGAAAATAAATATGATTGTTCTTATGCATTTTCTATGTTAGTATCAGATAGTAAAATTTCTGATTTATGGAAACTTGATACTCTTGGGATATTAGATCCTTCAGAAAGTCAAACTAAAAGGGAATTATAAAAACAAACAATGACACATTTTCTTTCCAATGTGAAAAGAGATGAAGAAGGAAGGTTTCAAGTTTGTTTACCTTGGATTGAAAACCATTCTCTACTTCCAAACTATTGAGAAAAAGCAGAAAAGAGATTAAAGAGCACAGTGAAGAATTTAAGGGATGGGGGATTTTTTAGAAGATTATGACGCAATTTTTAAATCTTGGGAAGATGATAAAATAATAGAGATTGTTCCTGAGGAAGAAGTTAATAACCCCTCTCATTATTTACCCCATTGTGCTGTTATTCGAATGAATTCCACCACGACAAAAATAAGACCGGTTTTCGATAGATCCGTAAGAGCTAAAGGATCACCTTCCATAAATGACTGTTTGGAAAAAGGTCCAAATTTGATAGATACTGTTCCAGCTATAATAAATAGATTTCGACTGGGAAAAATTGGCGTGAGCACTGATATTAAGAAGGCTTTTCTGTAGATAGCACTTAATCCTAAAGACAAAGATTATTTAAGATTTTTATGGTGGGAACAGGTAAATTCTGAGCATTTGAAAATATACAGGCATAGAAGAGTGGTCTTTGGAATAACCAGCAGTCCATTTCTCTTAAATGCAACACTAACGAAATTAATGAATGAAGTACCGGAAAATTATCGTGCGAGTGCTAATAAATTAGTAGAATCCTGGTACGTTGATAATTTAGTTACAAGTGTTAATAATGAATCAGAATTAAAGAAGTTAAAAAATGATGCCACTGAAATTATTGCAAGTGCTAAATTTGAATTACAAGAGTGGGCATATAACTATCCTCGAAATGAAAGGGATGCATTTGTTGTTGAACCCATTTTAGAACAGTCGAAGCTTGATAAATTAAATGAGAATGAGTTTTTCGATGATCCTTGTGAAGCTAAAACGGTCAACATTTTGGAACTTCTTTGGAATTTGCATGATGACACATTAAGTTGTGATATTAAGGGATTAAATGAATCGAAAAATAAACCTGTTACTAAAAGAACAATTTTGTCTGAAATTCATAAAATTTATGACCCTATTGGATTCACCTATAATTTTAATTCCTAAAATTGTGTTACAAAACTGCTGGGAATTAAAAGTAACTTGGGATGAAGCGTCTTCCTGAAGAAATTAAATAAGGAAATACATGAAATGAAAAAATGATGCAAATCGTTTAACAGAAATAAAAATTCCCTCGACAGATGATGCTTAATATTGATTCTGGAAATTGAAATTATATCCTTTCATATATATTTTGTGATGCATCCCGAATGGCATATGCCAACCTGCGTTTATTTAAGAAATGAAAATGAAAATAAAGTTTCTTGTCATTTAGTTCAAGCACGATCTAAGAGTTGCTCCTCTAAAACCCACATCAATTTGCAGACTAGAATTATTAGCTTGTGTTGTTGGTGCAAGATTAAAGAAATCTATAAAACAAGATTTGTAGGAGGAAAATATACCGACGTTTTATTGGACAGATTCGAGGAACACATTGTACTGGATTAAGAATGAAGAAAATTGAGGTGTATTTGTTATGAATAGAGTAAAAGAAATTCGAGCTCTTACTAATCCTGATACATGGAATTAAGTTCCTGGAAACTTGAATCCTGCAGATATTCCGTCAAAAGGAGGTTCTGTTGAAACTATTAAAGGCTAAAGAATAAAGGCATGAAGGTACAGCATGGTTGAAATTGAAATCAGACTGTTGCCTACTTCTGATATTTCTCCTGACAAAGATATGATTGATCGAGAAAGTAGGAAAACAGTTGTATCCTCGTTAACAAATGTAGATGAAGAATTTTTGCATTTTTCACGAATTTCTTCTTTTGAGAAAATAACTAGAGTTACAGCCTGGGTAAAAAGCTATATTGACAACTGTAGAGATAAAAATATAACAACGTGAAAGAACTTAGAAATCAAATAATTGAATGCAGCTGAAGTCCTTGTTTGGAAAATTGTGCAAAGGGTGTCCTTTAAAACAGAAAAGGATAAACGCTTACGACATTTAAAACTATTTGTTGATTCATCTGGTCTTTAAGAGTAAAGTCAAGAATATTAATGGAGACAAGACTTCGAAAATAAGTCGTAAAACTATCGTAAGTGTTTTGAA